GAATCACCGAGATTGTCTGGTCATTAATAGACAGATAGTGACTTTAAATACTGAACACTGTTGATTAAACCTAGTGTGAAGACAAGTGTTTCTGTACGTAAGATAAATAAATATGGATTAATTGGATAGAATAATAAAGCATAACATGTATGATATCAAGGAAAAGAAATAAAAAGAGCACAAGTAGAACAGAAGGTAATTAAAAGTTGGTAAATGAGATTAATACAAATTCTGAAAATACTTTCAAGTTTTAGACTTTTTCATTGGTCGGATGTTTTAGATGAACATTCTGAAATCAATTTCTTGGTTCATGGAGATCAATTTCGAATAATTTTTCCGGTGTCCACATTAAGCAAGGAAGATTTTTTTTTACTTTTTACAAAAAGTACCTACGCACATTACATAGGTGCACACCCTATGTAGGTTTTTATTACCTGGTATATTCAGAGATGCACGTGGTTATCATGGATGGAGAGATGTGAACTTGCACAACAATGATCCGACAAGGTAACTACTACATATACCCCCTTCCTAGAATTATCTCCGTATATAATTACCTAAGTAGGGGAATATAACAAAAAAGCCAAGATGAGAAAATAAGAGTGGCTCAACATATCCACTGAAAGTGGTAAGGCATAACCTTGACCTATAACACTGACAAACTATTATGCCATTATCTAAATCATTTAGGGTTTTGGTCAGTTGTATACAGATGATGGGACAAACAGAAGGTTACCTACATTATATGCCAAACTTTGTAGTTAGCATGCTTAATAATATAAGTAAAATGTGCAGAATAGGATGGAATGTGTACAATAGGTCTGAGAGATAGAGATTATTTAAGTAAAGGCAAACCAGAAGTTATCTACATATCTACATTATTAATGATATATATGCTGCGTGTTGACTGCAGAACCAGTGCTGACAGGTAGAGTGTATTTAGTATGAAGCAGACCCCAGGATTGGCCATGTATTTTATCAGTGTCACTAGAAGCATGTGTCAGAGCAGAGAGAGTGTACTTGGCATCTCCTGTGTGTAGCTACACCAGGCACTGACATGACAGCCAGCTTGCCCTGTACCAGGGCTATACAGTACAGAGTCTGGCTCAATCCTACCAACTCTGGATGCTACTAATGCTGAATGACTTATCGCAACTCATGCCAGTGTTATCGTGCTGCCAAAACACATTCCTTCATTCTCCACTGCATACAAAACACCACATCCTAGAGCAGCCTGCTTGTCTGCAGTATAGACACACAGCTTATAATTCTCCAACTTATTGTGTGCCATATAGCCATATAGCCAGATACATTTCTACAATGTCTTCTCTATCTAAAGCAACAAACCACTAAATACTTTTAATTAAACACTCAATTATCAATACACCTAGTGCAGATCAGCCAACCGAGTGCCTGTATATCATAGCTGGGTATTTACATTATCAGTCTGTAACTTTTGCCTCAATGGTACCACCAGAATTGGCCCCGATCCCTCTCCCACTTCAAAAAATATGAATGGAAATCAAGACCAAATTAACCCAAGGGTAAAAAGCATTTTTCTGATGTAAATATGATAACTGCTCCAGGTAATACACAAAACCAAAATAAATCTATGATGAAAAGGAACAAGACCAAATACCTAAACCTGAACAAATTTACTGCCATGACGATTTTTCATAACTCTATAGACTATGGACCCTTCAAGGCATTGCATCATTGTAATGACCCAATGGTTTTTGGGACCCAAATTCATTGACTGAGACTTTTCCTGTGGAACTTGATCAGACTTTTCCTGTGTAACTCGATCAATCAGTACCCTCCATATCTCCCTATCACGGGATTCATCAAAATTTTGGAAATGATGCTATGGACTCACCAGAAAAAAGTCCTACAAAAATTGATGTGACTTAAAACATTATTTAAAACCTGTTTGTTTTTTTTTGTTTGGAGGGGGGGGAAGGAGGGGGGGGGTCATTTGGTCATTGTTTTGACAAACTGTTTTATAATACCAATAGTCACATGACAGAATTTTAATAAATGGAAGATAAACTTCTTAACACTATGAATTTGTATTCATATGAGGAATATGGAATATCACTCACTATACCCATCTAATATGAGAACACACACAAGCGCACCCCCCATAAGCCCTTCTTATCTTTATGCAGGTGTCCTCTTTTCAATTATAAACAATTATGTGGACCACCATCTTGTGTAAAATAAAATATCTTCTTTTATACAACAGCTACAGACAATTATACATCTTATTCTTACTACTGCAACAAACTTTTACCGATTATGTGTAATAAATAGTTTGCATCTAAAACTTTAAATTCAAATATTCATTTTTTATTATAACCTGGAACTTTTGGGCCAAGATATTTATTTGTTCATATGTGTCAAGTTTAAAGCACAAACCATGAATAAACACTAATTAAAGGAATGTGGCAAACAAGAAGAAAAAAAAAAAAAAAAAGACTTGTAGCAATGGATTTTAACACAAAAAATCTAAATATACACAAACATATGCAGATACTGACTTCTCATGATGCCAGGTCATGTTCAAGAGCTGAAAGTATTACAGTACTTGAGTTCTACTGATAAATTAATATCCTCAGACACAATGTACGAGCACATTCATCCTGTACTTTTAGTTACATTGACTTGATATTATATTTTCTGAAGTTATCATCTTTTGCAACTGCAACAGGTAATTATAGAGTGTTATATAATATATAATTGATTGGAAACTTGTCAATATTCCATCAGACTGATGATAAAATTGTTAATCAAGACTTCACAGTATCATCTCATATATTTTGCAATAACTATGCCATATTTTTAATCGGTAGAAAAATCAAACTTTAAATCAGATGAGGACAACTTACTACTTATAGTTTACAACTACAACCATTATTGTAGAATTACATACTGCTGGACTTCTAACATTAATGGTTGTTCAGTTGTATATTCTGCAGATGATATTTCTTGGCTCGACTCGGGATTACATTTTAGATTCCATAAAATGAAAAAAGTAAAGATACCACTGACCAAATGCTCAGCCCCTACCCTTCCCTTCATATAGGATCACAAATACAGGAGAACCTAAATACATGTACACATAAATACATAGCATTCCTGTAATGTGAATGATTGTAACTTCCCATTTTCTTGCATGATCATGATGAGTTTATACAACAACAAAATAAAAATCTTTCCTTTTAAATGTTTTCTATAGATTTTAATTTCTTTTGTAAGTTACTTCCCTTATAATCAACTGTATTCGTAATCGGTTGCTTTTCACATAACAAAGTAAACAATCCAAATAAAAAATCAGTTTAACCTAGTTACAGATTATTAACTCATTAATACAAGGCAATGTAAACATGGTTGACTGACAGAAATAGGATCAAGTTAATGTTATTTCATGAATAGTTTTCAAACTTAATTTCAAAATTGGTCCGGTGGCATTTATCCCTTTAACCTTAACATAGGACTTCATGAACTGTAAAAAGTTATAGAACATAATGTTAGGATGAATGAGAGTATGAACTTGATATCTGGTAAGGGTTCATATTCATAAGCTTTATTATATAGACACATGGACAGACAAATGAATGCAATGATGAATACACAGAAACAAAAATAATTACTACTAACACCAGGGGGGGTGGGGGACAGGGGGAGCATGAGGTGGGATTATTCAACAACAAATGGCAAAATACACGCTTCTAACTTTAATCATCATTTTAACAAAACATTATAACTATAGCATGTCTATGAACACTTACATATACTGGTAAGTGAATAAAAATATATAGATTTACAATGCATCTAGCAATCAAAGTATGACAATAGCATTGTCAGTAATGAGAGACATGATAACTATGTATTGGCTTCACAGTAGTCAATAGTTAGACACTCTAGATATAGTCCTATGCCCTTCGGCTTATACATTGTTACCACATGTTCAATGATACTATTATATAACTTATCTGGTAACAACACTTCAGGGGACACATTAACAATATCGATGATGTTTGTTTGAAAAATCAGATCACATGCAATAAACTAACTGAATTTTTACTCATGGCACAAAATAAACATCAGCTTTGACAAAGCAAAATCAAATACCATTTAACAAAATAATAGAAAAGTAGACTACTGAAAATATACATTTATTCTTTCTGTTCACAGCTATAAATATTTGACAATATAGCTTCAAAAACACTGAATATGGGATACAACTTATGATTCAATATTGAATCACAAAGGATGTTAGCTTATTTCTTACTTACTTCATATTCTGAAAAATAATAAGCGATGTAAAAATATGGAGGGCGATTCCTGAACAAAAAACATGTCGTGTGTATTGGCCAAGTGTGATGTACAATACACACAGCTTTCACAGCAGTTGTTTTTGTTCAACAACACGCATAACAAAAATAGCAATAGTTTAAAACAAGCAAATACCATATTGAGAACAAATATTGTGTAGAAAACGTGCGATGAGTGCTTTGAGTGGGTCGAATAGTTCAAAGTTTGTTTAGTTTATTCTCTAGAAGCCAGTGTGTATTTCGGTCACGTGACTCGGAATCCCCCCAAGTTGATGGTGTTTACAAACCCAAGAGTTTCCCCAAAATCGTAGCCCTAAATCGAACTTATCCCGAAATAATAACGGACTGTGATGATTAAGAACTATGTAAAACTCTGCCAGGTGTAATCTAAGTGAGTTTAATATCCAAATTTATGAATTTTAATAACAAATACTTCGAAATCACTGCCATACATTTTCCAACATGGCGGCCATGGTTAGGAATGGCCGTAAGCTGCATGGCGACTAAATATGTTCGTGACACGTGGATTGCTATGACAACTGCACTATAACTTAGGCAACTCATTGCTGAAAGTAATAAAGCGAAATATGCAGTCACTTGGTAAACAACTTGATATGAATGCAATATTTGTTCCATGCATCTTCAATGTTATCACTGTCTTACCTTGAATAAGACCCACCAATCCAAGTAGCAGGATGAATATCGACACCGAACGCATCCTTACGGACAGATGGATGCCTGTAAAAACAAACTGCTCGATCTCCAGACATCAATAAAGTTTAAAACATGATCAACTCGAGAAAAAATGGGACAGGTTCTCCATATCCACCTGAGGTTGGCGGCCATAACAGTATTGTACGGAACTACTTCTTACATGCCTCTTATTCATCCGCATGACAGGTGCCCGTGATTCGGTCAAGATTAATTTGTTTACGTTTCGTTATAAATAAATTATTTCCGTTCCATAAAAATGCATGAGCAATTTTTCATTTAATATAAATTGTTTTTCACATCAGCAAATGTATAAGTATAATATGATAACGTTCACCGTTATTGATGATTGTTAGAACTAAAGTAGGGATTATATTCAGAAGCGCAACATGGATTAACCTTTACAGGAAAGAAAAAGTTAGGCACCTGTCAAAATAAAGAATGGGAATGTTTAAAGAGGTCTTATCCGCATTTTGGCGGTTTATCAAAACGCACGGACAAAATTATTTTTGTGATATATAGAAAATGTGCATTTGTGAGGTTCCCCGGAGGATATAATCAACTACTTTTTTTATGATGAATTTCTGCATATGCAAATGTGCATTCTACAGGAAATGTCAAAGCTATAAATCACAAAATAAGATGAAAATAAAAAAATAAGTTGAAACATTAAAAAATATCTTAGGCTAAATATTATCTTGAATGCTCTCCGTTTCCAATGTCGTTTCAGGGTCTTTACAATGTGACATAAAACATCACAGAACAGCGTGCGACATGAATCATCAAATAAAATCTGAAACACGAGCGTGGAATTCAGCAAATAAGATAAAACATGGCTTGTATTTGAAAAAATACTTTTTAAAACTATGTGGAGGCTACAAAAAGCAAGCATATTTAATGGTCTGCATTTTACAAAATATGAAATAAACTGACGTAGAGGGCGATACAGAAAGCAAGCGTAGACTGCAAATATTGTTATTGTTCGTATACACCATACAAAAGTTGTAAATATTCGGGGTCGAAACAAGGGTAAGACTGTGATTAGCCCCAAACAGTAAATTAACAAGTTCCTGCCGATCGAGCTCCATAACCTGACGAAAGTTTGACAGTTTTCATTAATTTTACATCACATCAGATCACGACATTTACAATGCGATCTTTATACTACGCTAATCGACAAAAAATGGCATGGAGATACGGCAATCACGTGAAAGGTAAATTATTCGGCACATAAATGCAAAAGAAACTTATTTCATACCTTGGAAAATAATTACTAATAGTGCTTCAGTTATCTATTCTTTGAATGGCCTCCTACCTAGTCTTTCGGAACATAAAACCAAAAAAATAAGTTCATTGTATCACAACAGACATTGTGGACACTGAAGTCGAAAAAGTTGGTCGATTCCGTACCATTTCGCACACTCCTTGCGTCAGTGCTAATACGCTTTACGCTGGTCATTTATCCGATGAAAGTGACAAATGTTGTCATAGAAATGTCGCACTTAAATCTTTTATTGGTTGTGTTATGTGAACCACTCGCCTATTTAGCCTCACACCTAGTGTTAACCAAACATTTATTCGTTTTATTGATAATACTCTCTTCTCTGCATCATTAGAAATAGTCCATTTTTAAAATATTCTATCAATCGTTTAAAAATCGGTCTGAAGTCCAGACCGATATAAAAAGGTTCGTGTTCATGGAAGCAATTTGAGTAACCTGGTTCAGACACGTAAAAAAATGGGGTGTGGATTGGGGATGGGTGGGGGAGGAAGAGAGAAACATCTGTAAAGTCAGTTGCTGAACTAATACCTGTATTATTTTAATTGAGCTGATCTGTTTTACCGTTGTACTTTTTCCATGTGACTTCTTTTATTCAGAGTCTAAATGATTACAGGTGTGTTGGATGCTGCAACAGTCCACTCGTTTCACAAGAAAGGTTACGCGCATAGAGTATTCAATATTGCCGTGACAACGGGTACCTACGTCAGTTTTCAGTCTGTCACGACGGGTGACCTATGTCAGTTTTCAGTGTGTCACGACGGGTGACCTATGTCAGTTTTCAGTGTGTCACGACGGGTGGCCTATGCCAGTTGCTGGTTGTCGACAACGGGTGACCTATGCCAGTTTCTGGTTGTAGACGACGAGTGACCTATGCACGTTTCCTGTTGTAGACGACGGGTGACCTATGCCAGTTTCTGGTTGTCGACGACGGGTGACCTATGCCAGTTTCCGGTTGTAGACAACGAGTGACCTATGAAAGTTTCCGGTTGTAGACGACGGATGACCTATGTCAGTTTCCGGTTGTGGACGACGGTTGAAGATGCATGAGTACCCAACCAGAACAACATTTTAAACAGCATCAGCTATCTACGTCATACACGGATAAATATTAAAGTCTTACGTTTGATTTTTCTGCTATTGTGGAAGTAAAATTCAGTAGTGGTCATTCTTTTTGGTTGTTTATAAGCCTGGCTCGATGTCATTTGATCTACATTGACTTTCGTCATCCGTTACCACCGTGATTTCGGAAGCAGATGATATTAATGTTTTTCGACGATGTTAAAGCCATGAAGTCGCTCAAGCATGCAAAAAATATCCGGTTGTGATTTTTTGACATTCACGTTTAAAACATTTTTTCTCGATAAGGTAGGATATTTCAGATACTTACTTCCACTCCAATTTAATGTTATAATTTCGATTACTAAGTTCTCCACCTATTTTTACAGTAACTTTAAAGAGATAAATGTATTTTCCGATTTTAATAATTGATTTTCGACGACTTTGCTGCTGCTTAAATGTTCAAACGTCATTAACATGAATTCGGTTGGTACGTTGGTACGTTCGGATCTCTCTTTGATGAAATATGACAATGTTGCAGGCTTTCCTATCAAGCACCGTAAAGTTGTCTACCCTTTGAAACAGAAAGAGGAATAGGGCGACGATTTACCTATTTCTACTGCACGTCCTTGAATGTATTTCAGTTATGTCTTTAGAAACATTCATTCAACATGCTAAAGTGAGAAAATAGTGCCAATACTAAGGTGGCAAAATAGAGCCAATAATACAAAAATTCAATCCGATCTCCCAGAGTTATTTCCCTTTATTTAGCCGAGAATCAATGCGGTAGAGCTTTAATTTAGTGTATTTTTCCTTCCAGCAGTCATTCTGAAGTTATTCGGATTCCTACAGATATTTCATTTTCTGAGATACATATCTTTTTTTTAATTTGTACAGATTGACATGTATTTTACTGTAAAAAAAAGGTAAGAAAGTGTCTGTTTGACAGCAAGTAGTTTAGTGCATAGGCACTTGGCATGAATCCCTAACCCGCATGTCATATACACTGTATATATATATTAATTGACTATAATTCATATATATGGATCGTGAGTATAGAAAATACGCGCCCCAGTCCTTGTGGTTTTCTTGTGTCTCGGTGATTCTGATATTTTACAAAAGCGTATCATTTTCACTATATGACAAACAAGCAATATTATAAATTGTTCTATGTCTGTTGTATTTGATAAAAAGTTGCAATTCTTAGTTTAAACATTTCCAACTGAATTTCATTTCGCATGTGAAGGTATGCAGCATTTCGAAGTCGTAATGTTAGTAAATAGCTGTACATGTCATGCCATTCACTAAAGGTTTGTTTTTTTTATATTTTGTATCGCTTTTTTTTCTGTGTTTGTTTTTGTTTTGTTTATTTGTTATTCTTGAAAACGAAGTGGGAAATAAATTATCACCAATGGTACGGTTTTTGTACGTAACGGGAGGTAACTCTCATATGAAGTAGTTATCTGCTCCTTTCCCAGAAAAACCTAGCCTGCTTTCGTTTTCTCGGTTGCAAACACGACAATTGGACTTTTACTTCCAGACGGCTAGAAGAAATACTAGATGACGTATGTAAACAGGATCTTCTTATTTGTAAATAACAGCAGCAAACACACGAGAATGACCACTACATTTCCATTTTCTTCTAGTTTTACTTTGATACCAATTTGGTTTGAACTTTGCTTATAATAACCCATAACTCCAAGGATTTGCCTTGAACTCCTGTTGAATGAAACAATAATAAGATCCCTTGTTTTGATATTAGAGTGCTGAAATGCTGCAGTTCCACCATACTTTATTGTCGTCATTACTTAGACCCCTGTTCACGTCTCCCATAAATTTGCACTTTCCCCGCCTAATTCCTAGTTGGGCACACCTTCGATTACCAGGGTTATAATGATCACACGAACACAAACAATGACTTCATATTGTTCAATATCCATACAGAAGTATCAAATACACATAAACCAATGTTATTTTCAAAGGCTATAGTACAAACATGTATATACAAGGTAAATATATCTCGTCATGCCACCGAAATGTTGTGTACGGGAAATCGCCCGTGAATGTATTCCATGTATAATACAGGTGCAGACTGTACACAAACACTTGTGATACTCGTCCTCGGGGACATAAACTTTTACTGTACATATATTATCTTACATGTATATCCCATTATGCTCTACTTGTAATATACTGACACAGTTCTTGCGTGTACTAATGACTGTACTTAATTAAACACTTCTATTTATGACAAGAAAGACATACACTATTTTTCATATTCAAGTACAATGATGTTATAATGTTCACAACATAACGTCACATATTCACACTACACTCACAATATGAGCTCTACCACACATCAGTGGACCACAAAGAGAACAGCTGTAAGAAAATATATACGTATATCGCTTCAAATCTCTGTAATGTATTATTTTGCTGTCAATTTTCATTACTTTGAAATTGATCCTATCCTTTATCAGGAATTGTTATTGTCTAGAATTTGGTTTGTTAACGTAACTCTCATCTGATCTCCATCAAGACAATGAGTTATTTAATGTTCTCATAACAATAAATAGTTATTTATTTTAAAATTCATGCGATATCTTATCTTAGATTAACCTTTTATAAGTTAATGAATTAATATTTTATCATATAGAACAGACTACATGTACATTGATGTGGCTTTCGTTAAATCCTCTAAATTTGTTTTTCGAATGATTTTTTTCACAACGGTGCAACTCACTGATAAAAACGTAAATGTAAATTTCACTATTTCAGATATCGCATGGAAGAATGGCAGAAGCATACCCAGTCCCACCTTCAAAGCTCGTTGATAGTTCTATTGATGCCCTGACAGAATGTCCGATATGTTTAGATCAGTTCCAACATCCCAAAGCGCTACCATGTCTTCATACGTTTTGCAAAATATGCCTCCATACATTTATCCAGGAGTATGCTTTTGGCACGAAATCGACGTCAATGATTTTCCCCTGTCCCATTTGTCGGAAGGACACTCAGCCTGCTGACACCTCTGTCAGCCATACAAAATGGGCTGAACAATTCCCGACAAATAGTCTGGTCGTAGCTATTTTGGACATGAAAAAGTTGAAGCTATCGAATAGGACATGTGTACCATGCACAAAAAAGAACAACCACGAGAAAGAAGCCATACTTTGGTGTAAAAATTGCTCCATGTTCCTATGCGGGGAATGCAGAGAAGTACACGACATTTTTATTGTCGGGCACGATATTTTGACAGCAGAAGAGGTAGAAATAGACCCAACGAAAACTATTACCGTCTCAACCAAATGCGAGGAGCATGACGAAATCATGAAACTGTTCTGTGGGGATCACAAGGTCGTCTGCTGTTCTACATGTGTAGCTGTTGGACACAGAAAATGTGACAATGTTATCACTGTTAAAGAACAAGCAAAACTATTAAACGAAAGCAATGATGTGCCGATTCTGACCAATATCGGTAATGATATCATCACTTTGGATGTAGTGCTGAAAGGTTCAGAAGAAAATCTAAAGGAACTTTCACAAAGCCAAAAAAGGCAGTCGGATGAAATGGTGGACCTGCGTAAACAAATTGATACACATCTTGATTACTTGCAGAAAATCGACATGACGAAATCAGTAATGGATTTGAAAAAACAGCAAAATGACATCAAGTCGAGAATGACACCAGTACGCAACTTAAAATCTGCCATTGAACAATCGCAGAAACAGATCAGAGCTGCAGAAATATGTATGGATGATGCTGAGCTTGTTTTGACTCTTCAGAAGGTTTCCTCTACGAGGGACGGATATCAGGAGACGATTGAGGAAATTGTCTCACGAAATAAGCGATATAAGTTGGGATATGAAATGAATGAAGCATTGAAGAGTATACTCGATACATTGGTATTCTCTGTAACCAAAGCAAAGTTAGAATTTGTTCGAAATGTTGATCCATTTGTGTGGTGCAACAAAGCGAAACAAACAAACACTCTTAAAATGAAACAGAACTCGCGTACGACAGGTGCAGTATTCTTTGATGCTGACACCATTGTTTCCGTGGACAACAAAAATAACTTGCTCTGTTGTAACTTCACTGACGGAAGCTTGAAATTCCTTCTCAGACTAGACGGGAAGCCATGGGATTTATGCAAAATTAACCACGACAGCGTAGCGGTAACCATACCGGGGAAGGAAACTATCGCAATAGTCGAGGTTGGTGATGATAACTTTTGCTTGAAATGGAACATTCTCGTCAGTGGCAAATGTCATGGAATTGCATGCATAGGCGACAGGTTTCTTGTAACATGTCCACGTGAGAACGAAATACTGATTGTGGATACCTCTGGTTCGAATCAGAAAAGCATTACTTTGAAAAAAAAAAAAAAAAACATGTGGCATGCAGTTGCACCTAAAGGTAGCAATGCCTTTGTTATTAGTGACAGGATTGGAATGAAAGGAGAAACAATGTTACACAAGCTTGATGAGGAGGACATACCGAGTTGTTTCTTCCAAAGCGATTTGATTTCTGGTGGAAGAGGAATGGATGCTGACGAATTCAGCAATATATACGTGTGTGCCATTGACGACAATAGCATCCTGATGGTGTCGCCTAAAGGGGAGAGCAAAATCTTCCTTTCAGGAAATGACGGACTCAGTCAGCCGTGTTCTGTTGCTGTCTGTGGTGACCGAGTGGTTATCTTTGAAGAGAAAAGTGCCACCGGGAAAATGTTTCAGATCTTACCTTGAATTCATTTTAGATGTTCATAACAGACTCTCTAATTTTTGTTCCTGTTGTTGTCAGTGAAACTTGGCATCTTCTTTTCTGCTTTGTCATTCGAGTTAGATATCTACATAATATTTATTTGCGGTCTGGATAAGGTGTGTTATTAATTTTCTAAAGAATACATTGACACTGCCATGTTTTGTTGCACTACTTGTGATATACTATATATCCATTAAACACTGGTTTTTCTTTGGTCAGATTTGAAATATCGGGTATAACACTTGATACAAACATTGATAAAATTCTGAAATTACGAAATTCACGTTTATCGTTCAAGATGTTTGATTTAGGTACACGTAATTAAATTTGAGTTGAATTGAGTTTAACCAATAAAATGTAAGTTAGTAAACACGTTTGTTTTAAAATCTATATACCTATTCTCCTGTTACTCTTTTCAAACGTTTGAAGATGGTGACATTGGAATGGTTTAACTTACGTCATTGTACAGATTTGATAGGTATTCATTGTAGAAAGTTTGACTGACCAGTGTTTGGAAACTTTAATGCAACCGACTCATAAGAGCATGTAAGCCATTTGTGTAGGTCAAAGTCATGAAAACATCATATACTGTTTTTAATACTACCGTTTTCAGTTTTGATGCCTTCTTAGAAGTCATTAAACAGTATAGGTAATTAAATCTTGACCTTAAGTGTGAAGTGATACAATTATTTTCAGAAAATATATATAGCCATGATTATGAAACTGGACGAATATAACAATGGACGTCATTGTTACAAGATGACAACCGATAGTCATTTTAGTATGTGCTCGTTGGATCGGTTTGTTTAGAAAAAACTCTCCTTGCAATTTCGAGTCTAAACTCACGGAATGGATATCAACGTTTAGAATATCAGGCGTCTTACCCGTACTGTACCGAATCACAAGCAAACTTCGCGATGATTGGGAAGTGAATGTCATGCAAACCTCTGATTTTAATAGAAAACTGTTTAGTGTTATTTTACTCAATACACAACGGTGGCCTACATAGACTCACGACACTTTGGTCAGACTGTTGATAAGAAAATACTTTTAGCTGAAACCACGAGAATAAGGAAAGCTAGAGTAAGTATGATTAACGTCAGTAGGACGTCATGTTTGTTGTACATATCGTAGTCACGAATCTAATTTTGTCATGATTACCGATCATCCCTGATACTCCAGTGATTACACTCAGTTTTGCTCTCTGCATCCCTTAAACATGTCATGGCAAAACCGAAGGTTCCATGTGCGAAACCTTGCGGAATGACGAAAAGACCAATTTGATCCTTTGATGTACATCAAACGAATCTCGAGATCGCATAATGGTATATTGTAATGGCTTGAAGTTGGATGTCGCTCCTTTGTAATTTTCAGAGGGAACGTATCAGTTTGTGATTGGTCAATTTTGGTCTCCTTGAACCAATTAAATCACTTCGCTGTTGCCTTCAATTATGCAAGCGAAGGTGATGGTAACACCAGGAGTATCAAAGATAGATGACCGATATGTCGACACAATCATAACTCAAATTTAAAAGCAAGTGTTAGAATAATTGCACCACGTGTCGTTCTTCTGAAGCTTTCGACAACTGGCATGAAATCGTGATATCCATGTACTGTTAATACCATAAGCTGGAGAGACAAGGTTGTTAAAATACAGGAAGGGAAAAATCGTTATTGGGAGATTATCCTACAGTTAAATTATTGTTTGTTGCAAAGCATGTAAATATAGCTTAAATATAGTTGTTTGTATAGCATATAAATATAGAATGGTGTGTCTGTTGAAGCGTCTCGTGTAGCGTCATATAGTCGAAAGAAAACAGAAACTGAGAGGAGTCTTTACTGTCACAATTCAAATTACGACCGACACTGTAACAACGGTGAATGGAATCAACTTATTCAAGTTCTTTAATCACAATTGATAGCATTTCCGTTTCGCCCGAAAGACGCAAACAAACACCTTGAAATTTTTATCTGAAACATGTTAACATTTCATAACGTTTTCGTCACTATCTTCGTGCCTCTCGTGTATTATAATTGTACATCTATCAATTTTTAATTTTATGTAAACAAATAAATGGTGATGTACATCTTACTGGTTTTATACTCATCAAAACCTATACGATGTCAGTACTCAAAATGTTGAGTACAAAAATAATGGAGTATAAAACTGAGGACATATCAATTTGTAGAAAACAATTTCAACACGTTGTTATTAAGTCATCTGACCCGAAGCCATCGTGCTTCGTCCGTCGTCGTCCGCCGTCCGCCGTGCGTCGTCCGTAAACTTTTCATTCAAAAAACTTCTTCTCAAATACTAGAAGGCCTAGGGGGCTAATACTTGGCCCATAGCATGCTGGCATAGAACCCTACAAAGTTTGTTCAAATTAATGACCTTGACCCACTTTCAAGGTCACAGGGGTCAAATATGTTTAAATATACAAACGACTTCTTCTCAATAAGCAAAAGTCCATGAATGCTGATATTGGGTCTGTAGCATGCTGGAATGAAGGGCTACCAAGTTTGTTCAAGTGAATGACCTTGACCCACTTTCAAGATCACAGGGTTCAAATATGTTAAAATCTGTAAACGACTTCTTCTCAGTAACCAAAAGGCTCAGAGTGCTGATATTGGGCATGTAGGATGCTGGGAGGAAGGGCTACCAAGTTTATTCAAATGAATAAAGCCCACTGTTTTAACGGCAGACTCGCTGTTGTTAGAGTTTGGCTTGCTTTTTGTCAGATGACCGTTAAGGCCCATGGGCCTCTTGTTTTTGTTTTTGTTTTTCGTGATAAGAATATTTTTCCTAAACTCACCAACGGCCTAAAACTGACACAATATCTGTATTTATTGTTACAGGAGTTGTGATATTATCAGAAATATATTTCACAATGGGACTGATAACAGTGATGCATTATCATCTGATACTTCGTCAGTGGTAGATTATAACCATACGAGTACTCAGGTGGTGCAGCCAGCACTGATAACTATAGGTGCGACCTGGGTACACTGAGCATATAAGTATCAAAGATCACAACTGTGTAGCTGAGGTAGCAGTAACAACAGAATTTAACATCTAACGCAGAACGTTACAGGTGAGATGTTCTTTTTGAATAACAATAATAAATAAGTAAATAAATAAATAAATAAATAAGTGTTCCAGAATCAGGAATTAACATGAGGATGAAAGTCAACGTTCTTCTCGCATAGTATTGGGGAAATGCTCTCTTTTCAGTTGTTATTGTTGTTGAGTGTTTGGAATCGACAGTAATAACCATTTCAAACAATGGTAGTCTCTTTTCAATACTTTAACTTCTTAACTAATGCATGTATTCTTTATAGTTCATCTATGTATATATTCCTTTCTTAAATTCATAGAAAACATGAAAGTTGAAAGTTGCTCCTTTAACTTCAAGTATACGATGAAAAAGTATAGCTTCTTACTAAGTTTAATAAACACATTTATACCATAAATATCAAGTATTGATTAAATTTTGATATAGAATAGTAGGGTTGTACTGATAACAAATGTCATCACCAAAATGTTGTTGATCTTATCACATGTTGCCAACTGAGCATATAGAATCGAAAATGTATCTTTACTCGAAACTTTCAACTTTAATATTAATTTTTTTTCAAATGATATTATTTCTGATTCATATTTCTTTTTTTACTGTATAATGTTGACATTTTTGCACCAGGTTATTTTCGCCATTGTACCATTATACACGGATTTTACCATTTTGCCCACTGAGGGCGTAAATAAAAGTTTTATATGATATATGTTTGTCCTCCGTGTGCAAATGGCGAAAATGTCCTGGTATGCAGCATTAATGGGACGTAAATATTCTATTTCTTTTCGCCATATGAACCTGCACGTATTTGATGCTCGTTAGTTTGCTTATTGTTACATTGTTCTCATTTGAGAACGTGACATTACTTACTTGGATTGACCAAGGTTTAAGGTGTCGTCGATGAAGCATAAGACGCTTACTCTTCCAGAACACCTGGTCTTATTCTCCTTGTACTTTTTTCATGAGTCTCCGTGCAAATCTTTCTTTTGTTCATATTTTGCCATGATTTTACGGAATTTGAGTTTGAATTATAATTATGTTGCCATGTTGGTTCTTTCGTTACATTAGAAACCATTTTGTGCATGAACTTGTATACAGATTTATCACATACAATGGAATACCACTTGATCTTAAATGTAATATACATACATAGACATTGTATATGTATACATAATTCATATAGGAGAAACTAAAATGTAAAATATATATATGTATATATATATATATATATATATATATTACACAAATATTGATATATTGCACAGCATGGAAAAAATATTTAATTAAAATATTTTAAAACAGATGATGATTAATATGATTTTTAATTTTCATTTCGGCTATTGATAAATGGTCACGCACCGAACGAATAGAGACAACTTATCTCCCGATCGTCAGAGCGGGAGATTGATAACCTAAGTACAACATTACACTTATGTATCAGTGTAATTCATCCAGATAACAACGGGTAGATTAACGGACATAGTATTTAGTGATTGAGTTTGTGTATATAAACAGTGCTGAAATTTTACATTTCAAATTGTCTAAACAACTGAAACTAAATCAACCAATACGCCAACACATAGCCTAGTATTTCTTATCTACAACATATTAATGTCTATGCCGTTTTTACATTTATCTTTACTTTTCATCCCGAAAGTAATCTACCCCTCCTCACGCCGACATGTAGACACAGCTTTTATATCACGTTTGTCATTCAAAGTCTGTTGAATTACCAATAAAAAATAGAAAAAGAGAGAAAACAATTTTTTCCACCGTTCAAATATGAAAAGAGAATTGGAAAACAAGTTAGAAGCTTACATAGGCATTTTAATTCGATATTTCGACAATATCATTATTTTTTATATCGGTGCATCTCACTTAATACTCTAGAAAATAAGAATAGGCTTAGCTTTTGTTGATTAAAATATTAGCACGACTTCTACATCCAATCAGATTTAATTGAACTAAATCAAGTTAATGCCATTGCTAATATATAAAATGCATCTGACAATACAAAAACATAACCGTTTTCATAACAATTAACAATAAACTCAATCGAATGACAGAAATTAATACAAAGTAATGTCTAATCAAGAATCGAGCACGTGACTTCAGTAATGAAGTAAAAGTATCGACCTTGTTTCCTGGGGCATTTGGCAGAGATTCCACTGAAGTATTCATTAACCAGAGTGGTGGTGCTGGAGCGACATCTGGATAAGTAACCTAGTAGTTTATACATTACTATAGGATAATGCTTTGTATTTTTCAGCATAATGGGGATATGTGAAGGATTCGCTAGACTGATCTTTGTGGCATTCAACGTCATCTTTGTGGTAAGTTGACGGTTTTGATTCTACTTCTATTATGATAAACATAGACCTTCCCGGTTATATACCCCGATAGGAGGTCAAATTATTGAAGTATCTTTCAGCAATGGTCATATATTCACTTATCCTTTTGGATTCATATATATTCATGCACACATTCTATTGTGTCAACAGAAACATCCTTTATATTCCGATTATATTTCCTATATATTCCTGGCATCTGTATCGAAATTTTAAATTATCAATACACTGTGTATGGTATTGCTTATTTTCGAAACGATACTGCTCCTGATATCTAATGTGGGTTCAGCCATTTAAGTCAGAGCTCAGACATGAACTTGTTTGGACATGAGCTTAGATATATTGTATTGATGTAACTACTGTATTGCATAAATACGTTTCTGTTAAAGAAATATGAGAAATTATCTATTCTAATGTGAACTTTCATCAAGACAGTATCATGTAAAAATGTAATAAACTATTCTATATCATGAAACAAGAAGAACAGAATCTTAGGTCAAACTTAAATCAGATGAATCCATATAAGACCAGCAAATATTCCATGAAGACAGAAGAACAAAACTAAGGAGAATACGGCCAAGTTTTTAGTGTCTTCTTCATCGACGACGCCATCCATGTAAATTTTGGTCAATCCAACTAAATAATGTTACGTTCCCATATGAGAACAAGGCAAACAACAACAGAACCACAAGGCATAATTAGGAGCAATAAACTTCATATCAAACAAGGAAATTTGCTATTGAGGTCATTATGTTTTTCCCGTTTTGTTGGCAAAAATATAAAAATTAAATGATCATCAAAAATACAGTTCCACAGACTGGTCTTAAAATTACAATGAGATTTGCCGAATATTTTTACTGAAATCGCCTCATATTAACCAATTTAATTACAGCTGTTTGGTATTGGAGTCCTTGCAGCTGGAATATGGGTGAAAGCCGACCCGCAGTTGATGAATGTCCAAAAGTTGATCGAGCTGGATGCTAGTGACAAGTTCCTGTCTACAGCCGGATGGATTCTTATTATATTCGGGGTGTTGGTGTTGATCATAGGAGTATTCGGCTGTGTCGGAGGGATCAAGAAAAACAAATGCTTCCTCGGCTTTGTATGTATTCGGCCACACAAGTATATATTTTGAAGAACCCCTGAGCTTGTATAGATTACCCATTTAATTCATAAATTAAACAAAGACATAATTAATGTTTAACTTTAACATGAGCATAGAATGAAATCAAAAACACTTTTAACCTATTATTCTGCCACATTTCGGGATCCAAAATGTTTTGCACAATAGTTTTACCTTTTGTTGGATATGAATATTGTTTGTATCGACTTCGTATTCCGTATTTTTCCTTATGCTTCTGTATAACTTTACTCTTAATAATCTTAATGAAACACCTATCATGAAATCACACTAAATCGACCTAAACATTTTCAAAATAAACTCGGCTCGAAAATTATGGTCAAATGCAAGGTCCTGTTTATAAATAGAAATACACTGTGAAGAATCATATAAATCAGGAACCTTTGATTTCATTATATAGAATCACTACTCACATATATTTACTCGTAATTTCAACAAGAAAGTTATATTTGTTTCAGTATATCGCACTTGTTACAGTCATTTTCATTGGTGAGCTCACAGGAGGAATTATGGCAGCAGTCTTCAAGGGAAAGGTAAGAACCATTACCAAATGCGTATGACAAACTTCAATTTCATGTAAAGAACTACCAACTCCTCATTCAATGCGCTGGTTATCATGATCATAATGCACACACGATAGATTGTTAGTAAACTTCTAACTGGTTGGATTGCAAACGTAATTATTGTTGTCAAATACTGTAGACGGTAATTATCGTATACTTCAAGTAAGTTACCTTTATTGCAAATTTCACATGTAACGGTGTAGATTGTGCAGGAAGTAACTTCACTGCGGTATAGAACTTGGCATATTTTCAAATTTGGAACTCATTTCAATGTCTGAAGCAATGTTGTTTGAAGGGAAAAGTCAAAATGTGATTATTTCGTGAATTTTGTTTTTCAGATTTCTTCGGAGCTCAAAGATGCGCTAAGTGGAACGTTGAAGAACTACAAACCAAGTCAAGGGAACGACATTGTTACCAAGACATGGGACGAAGTACAGAAACTGGTATGTAATTACTTACATGCGTTAAGCAAGAAACTCAGCTATAAGAAGGATAACGTTATTTATTCGATGCAAAGTAGTGAAAATATTTCTTGGTCAATGGTATCTTATTTCAATGAAAGCTGTCAGTATATTTTATTTTAAAATCCATTATATAACCGTTGTTAATGCAAACGTATTACGATTTAGTGAAAAAGTGCAACGCCGAATATATTGAAATGAAATATTATATACACGTAATATTTTACTTCTTTTAAGATTCCTGTTTAAGATATACGCAAGCTTACACAGGTATGCAGCTAACTTTTGGAAGGTGATAAATCATTATGTAATATTACATTATCCTATGTATGATTTTTATTGTACGAGTCAAAACACGACAGAAAATTCTAGTTTTTGTTAACGGCAATATGTTTGCTTCCCCAGTTTTCCTGTTGTGGTATAAACAACTACATGGATTATGAGACGAACAACGTAACATTTCCTGGGACGCAGGTAGGAAAAACACATCAAATGCAAGGCATGATGTTCCAATCGACTGTGGAAGGATTTTTTATTGACATCATCCTGTGTTTGATAAAATAAAGTTTTCGATATTCTATTAAGAAAAATCAACATGTTTTTAAGTATTATACACTCTGATAAAAAGAAGCAAAGCTGATGAATACAGAGAGCATTATGATATTCGTTCGTTTTTTAAAACATTTATATCTTTATAAAGGTTGAGCATTATTTTCTCGTGCGATTTTAGCTTGTGCCTAACACGTGTTGTAACCCAGCAATAAACGATACCATCTGCCAAGAAGAGGCTCTACAAAAGCCAGGGACAAAGGGTGCTGTGTACAAATCCTTGTATAACCAGGTATGTCGCGCTTATTCATACATGTATATAAAAGATTACTTGGAGAGTCCTGTTAATCATTTTCATTTTATGATTCAAAACACGATAGAAGATTCTACTTGTTTTACTTGTGTTTACATGTTATTATTTATATTTATTAAATTTATATTTCGAAAAGTCATAGAAAGAAAAGATATGTTTCTCACACAAATGCATTCAGTGCATATCGATGTTTTATTTTATTTTCCAGGGGTGCTATCCAAAGTTTAACGACTTGTTGTCCAGCCATCTTACATTAATAATAGGCCTTGCCATCGCTATCGCAATGTTTCCGGTAAGTTAAAATAACAACAGACATTTAGTTCCTAAGATTTGGGTTCAACATGTCACACTTATTGACACTTTGATTAACAACTTAATTCGATAAAACCAGAAACTGTGGGATCTGCTGGGCCTTGTAATTCCTTGAATGGAAAAAAAACACGGATAAAATAAGATTATATATTTTAAACTTTATCGGATTTATGGATAATGCACATAGATGAGATGGCTGGCTGGTGTGATCTAATTATAGAAAACTTTATTATAGCTTCCAATCCTATATGTAAGTAAAGAGAATAATGTTGTACATCGTATACCTATTATTTTTTTCATTTTAATACATTACCTTATTTGGTTCTGAAGCATGGCCGCACATTTCGATTGTAAACTTTAACAGCACATAAAACGACTTATCACATTCGAATCCGCATTTTCTTTCTTTTTCCCTCGAGACAACGTAGATATATATCGTTCGATATACCCTCTCTGGAATGCTGACACATGGTGACAAACAGCATCAGTGTATTTTCCACATGCGCATGGCGTATTTATCACAGAAATCATGAACTTCACAAATGTTTTTTTCTCTCATTTATTTTGTAATGTACCTAATATATATTGTTAACGACGTTATTAAATCCTAAAAAGATTGAAAATAAAATAATAGAAAAAAAAAAAAGAAAACAAGAAAGAGAAAATGACATCTTCAATCGAATTGCGATGTAGATTATTTTCCAGCTTCAATTAAGCCATCAACATACTTGAACACATATATTTCTCTTACTGTAGTTGTTTGGAATATGTTTGGCCTGCGTTACGTGTAAAGACGGGTCTGTGGAAGACCACATGGCATAACAACAGCAGCTGAAAAAGGACAAGAGAATAACATCCGATAGAGTGCCTTCTCGTGGTCTCCAGAAAGGATGGGGGGGACTTTAAAACCCGTTACCATGGAACATACAACAGATACAACATTAGTACACCTGGTGATGTTAATATCAACGGTTCAGTAATTAATAACCGAGATGAAATGTATGGAAAAGAGTTTCATTATAGGGAAATTCTTATCAATAAAAATTGTGATACTAATTAGGAAAGTCATTAACGACGTTTTATCAAATTCACTAGGTTCTGCTGTAATCTAGATTGCTTCTTGTTTTGCAAGACAAACAACTTATTAATCTTCTCATTTTTTCGAGGAGTGTCGCCTATATTGTATTGTCAAAATTGCCTTCAACAAACTTCGATTTGAAATGTTTAACAGTCATGTGATTTAGTTGGCAAACTAATATTTTAGGTCATGGTCACCAATGTAACGATATATAGTAATTAACAACCATTGCTTTATTCATTATTCATGTTTTCCTTTATCATCGTTTTAATCGTAAGTATAACTGGACGCGTGTATTTTTAATGACAGTGTTATTATATTTGAATCATAATATAGCGTAGTCCCTGTATTTTCAATTTTACTCCCGTATTCTGTGTTTCAACCAATCGCATTTGCCGTCACCAATGGGCATCACTACTGGACATTGCTTGTTGTCATTCATCATGAGTGTTGTTAACTACTTGTGAGCTCCACAAATGTTCACCTGTGCTGGACACTATTATATGACATCACAAGTGGTACTGTAAGTCGTTACTATTGGTCAATAATTGTGGTCATCGCTAAAGGTCCTCAGTGCTCGACACAACTGTAAGCCTTTAATGCTGGACACTACTGAAGGTCATTACTTGTGGTCATCAGCGCTGGACATATCTGAAAGTTATCATAAATAGTAATCGGTGCTTAACACTACTGTTGGTCATCAATGGTCGTCACTTGTGGTCACCAATATACCATCATTTCACAAGGCAACAACGAATATTTTCTGTAAATTTCGATAACTTAAAACATTCCTTCAAAATGCTTTGGTACTCTCAAGTTCCTTTATACTGGTATAAAATTTGCCGTTATTTCATTTAAATAAATCCTTTGTTTTAATGAGTATTATTGTCTTCTTTCATAAAAGTCCATATTAATTAGATATGTCTGGATACAGACACTGGTCACAGTTTATTTTGTTGTTGGTTGAATATCGAATAAACAATAACAATTCCTGTCTACATGGTTAACGACATCCCTAGAGCGCCACCTAATATTTGCGATTATTTGTCGCGCAAACTTTAGCCAGAAAAGGAAGAACTTTTCTGACGATATTTGTTTGTTTGGAAATAAAGTGAAAAGTTTAAGTGATCTTGCTCTGAAGATTTGTCTACACTTAGTCTTACCATTAGACTAGGGATGTATCCTGTCAACAGTCCAGCGTTAAGTCACAAACGTTAATAAAATACTGTACATGCTTCCCATGTAATATTGACCTTTGTACAAACGGAATTACATGTATGTATTTCCGGAATCGATTTCATTGCAGGGAAAGAGAATTATAGTATGCACATGTTGAATATTTTTGAAGTTGTATTCTATGCATCATGTTAAAGTGTTCACTACTTCAACTATATACAGGAGTAAATCTATTCACATTTAAGGCAAACGTTGCAAATATCATTGACGACCCCTTTCGTCAATTGGCTGTTTGTATTTCAATCTTCGTACCCGTCAAAACTTTCCAACATGACATTGGACCCCTCAACTCCACAATATAAACAATGCTATATTTCTGGCTCGTCTAGCTCTTGTTCAACACAGCCTTCATTAAAACGACTAACCAGCATTCTAAATACTATCAAATCTGGGGTACAGACTTATTTTGTGATACTGTTTACTCAAGAAGTGAAATTAATAGTATGTGGATTTTTAAGAACTCCAAAGAGCTTTTGACCAATCTTCCACAACCTCTTCTAAATAGCATTTCATATGTTGTATATTTTGTTCTCATTTGAGAACATGACATTTCTTCCTTGAATGATCAAGGCTTGCATGGTGGGTGTCGGCGATGAAGCAGAAGACGCTTACTCTTCCGGAACACAACACCAATACCTCTTAAATAAAAAAAATCGAACGCAATATCAACAACATCAATATGTGGTTATCATGCAAATCGATAAAGTCACTCATAGAACATATATCACAGACGACTGTCCTTTTCTTGGAGCCGTGCAACAAAATCTGAAAAAAGGTTGAATGAAAACATTTAATGTAACCCTAAAGAGCAATAAGTCATTTCTTCAGTGCAGACTGATATGTAATTTTGATTTCAATATATATCAGATTTTAAAGAAATATCCACGTACAGTATAAATAAATACTCACTTTTTAAGGCATTGAACTTATAAAAATGGCCTACATAATCGGGACTTAGTGTACATACCAAGCGAGGGAGGTGGTGAAAGTACATTTCTACCTAGTAAGAGCCAGCGTCCCTACATCGACGGGACGGAACCTACCTAGCGACGGCCTAGGTATCAGTAGTTGAACTGGCGCTGAATGCACAATGGAAAAAGTGTCATATGTCTCTCCTCAAAATGGTGACAGAACTTTCCCTACGGCCAACTCCAGTCCGAGACTAAACAACATCATGGCCTTAGAGCACTCCGGAGGCCGCGCAATTGACAATGTCCTTATGAGATCCAGAGGCTTCCATAAGGATCTTTTTTGACCCGACATTGGGTAGTCCCGCAGTGACGTCAGCCGGAAGTACCTGTACATACATATTTCAGATAGGATGTAATAAACAAATAAGAGCTGGGCAACAGACACACCATGTAATAGTCCTTACAATACAAACATGATATATACCATATATGCTTATTGAAATGCATCTACAAAATAAGGGTTCCACTCTTGAGTTACCCACATGGTATGCAGTATTTCGTAAATGTTCTTTCACAAAACAGCATGGAGAGTTAGTTTCGTCTACTCCGTACGGTTGATAGAAAGGAGTACATGTACATATATATCGTTATAAATATAATAAATATTGTAAATTTGAAAGCAAAAAAACTAAGGTTATTTCTAATTTACTCAATGTTTGATATTTTAGCGTAATTATGAAATTAAAAGGGATGCTTTGAAAGCAGGTTGCAATCCTTTGAGAAAAATACAGATGAAACGAATATGAATATGTTGAATAATTCTCACTATTCCTCAATTCCTGTAATGCAGAAAACATGGCTGAGCGCCTTTCAATGGCGGTGTGTCCAATAAGAGGCGTAAGTATAGAATAACCCATTACCGACCGGCTATGAAAAAAAATCAAATCCTAGTTCATCAATAGTTCAGGGATAAATGCATGTTTATCAAATTTCATTGTCTGAAAATTATTAATCATAAGTGATGACGTATATTATCATATTATACGTCCGTGTTACACGAAACTCGTTACCTGTATCAAATCGGCTAGCGCGTGGCATTCTTTTTCAACTTCTCTTTAGCATGCCCTGGATCAGGCTCCACACTTTATAAATACACATTTGAGAACATTACACATTGCATTTTAACGAAAACGTAATTGATATCCATTGGCAGTCATACTTTTGACTGTACGCTCACATAAACTACCACATAAGGTTCCTATGAATAGTAGGGCCTTAGTGTACAGCGCTCAACATTACCACTAATAACAAGTATAACCCGTTGTGGTAATACAAGAATTAATGAAAGAAGTAAATACCTGGGGAGAGATCTGTTTGTATATTCATGCAGAATTCACTATTTGGAATTTGTACACAGTTACCTGTTGCAATCTATCACCATGCCGTTTGGCTGTTGTAAAGAAGCTTAGTAAGATATGTGACGTCATAAATGAGTTTTAATTTTTTTAACATCATGACGTCATACAATTGTTTTCATAACGCAAAAGCAATCCTTATTAGATCATTTATATTTTTACTTGGCAATATATATATATATATATATATATATACCCACGTTCGCATGTTTCTCGCCCCTCCTCTCTCCCAATTTTACATTCTGCTCTGCTTTCGTATTTTGAATCCGAAATAATGTTTACATTGTTTGAGACGCTTTATGGTATATTTGTGTTGTATATTATAAAACTAAACAGAATCGAAAAAAATGCTAGTGTAGAAATTACTGAACCATGAACAAGGAGTACAATGTCAACAGCGCTGTCTGTATATCCATGTAGAATTCACTATTTGAAATTTGTACACAGTTACCGGTTGCAATCTATCATCTTGTTTTGAAGAAGCTAAAATAATGTAAATAATAGTAAAATAAATAGAGAATATAACACAAGAAATGACGTTCTTCGGTTTGAATTTCTCTCGCTGTTTTCGTCATTATCTATGAATATTTATTAGAGCTATATACTAAACCAATCCTTCGACAGACTTACTAATTTCGAGCGAAACTATGCCATTTTAGTTGTAAATAGATTTGTCAACATACGACATATCGAGGAAGCTCACCTGGTCTGTCTTTACGATATTTAAGATCACATAGTGAGGCTAGAGGACTGTTTTAACGGGAACTTGCACAAGGAACAGATGGGCGGTAGAAGAGTCTACCCAGTACAAGATAACTGGATGTTAGACCCATTATGTATTTTGATGGGATTTGCTCGGATTCAAATGCTATATATAGGTCTGTACGGGAAAAGCCCTCTGTATCTTTATGAAGAAGCCTAATTTTTTTGCTTATAATCCATAAACAATATAAGATTTCATGTCATGCATACATTATCAACTGTGTAACAACACAATTCTTTAAAGAATGACCCCGTCATTTCCTAAAGTGTGTAATCTTACGCCGTCGTAGTGAATGAAAAAATGTATCTTCTTCCGTGTATATATCTAAACACTAAAGTCACACGAAAGGCTTTCTTTTTAGAAGGAAACGTTTTAAATTTCGGCTGTTAGCAGGCGTTACGGGAACATGGCGTCTAACTGTAAGTACCTGCAACTTCAATAGGCTCTTTATCAAGGTATTTTATATATTATACAGTGTCAAGGAACACTCTGGGATACATTGTACTTCTGATACATGTTTACTGTTCTAATAACTCGTCCAATGTCAGCTGATTTTACAAACGATTGTTCTGTTGTTATAACCAGGTGTGTTATGTATGAAATATGTTGCTGTGACAACTTTGATTAATTGATCGCGCTTTATACCGAGAATATTCAAGTCACATTGGTATTCTCCTCGCTACCATCAGAGACACTGTGGTGTCCATCTAACCCAATCAATCATTCTTTACGTGGACTTCTAGAACATGTGCACGTGTCAACATTTTTGTTGTAAAAACAGTGGAAACAGTAACTGTGACTCATGAATCGGCTGACATACCACTGAAAACGTTAATGTAAAATATCTCATTAAACGTTTAACGGAAATCGTCACCACTGACGCCACAAATACACTTGTTGTAGTTTAGATAACAAAGTTAGTCACATAAATAATGAAAATACCCCCTCCACTAAAAAAATCAAAAAACGAAAAACCAACCCAACTAGTTTGTGAATTAGAGTTACTGAATCTTTGTTGTCAATACCTCGAAAAAACTGCTAAACGAAATATTTCTGAAGAACTCATACTTGCATAAATGAAATGCTACAGTGTCTTATTCAAGAGGACATATGCAATCTACTTCCCTTTCTTGTATACACTAAGTGTTCTTTTTTATCAGTACGTTATTTGATATAGAGACGTATATATAACACATATTCGACTGCTCCCTATAAGTACACGTGTACCACTTGATCAATACATTACCACTGTAAACCTGTATTGTAGACTATTTACGTGTACATTGGTGGCTGCACGGTAACGGTTGCACTGTAAGCATTAGACTATCGTATACTAATCCGAGAGACAAGTAAGTTATGTATAATGTATCGCGCCTCCCAAGCTAATCCCTCCAGTATGAATTGGAGCTCAAAAACGTGTTATCAAAACCAATGACGCCTCGACACGTCCCTGCTATTTCCAAACAGAGAGGTTGTGATTCTGTTCGATATCGGACTCTAGCAGGGCTCCTCTTTTGTATGGCATGCGTCGACCTTGCTTATTGTGGTAGATACTAATTATTTGATATTGCTATGGTGGTATAAATAACCCTGAACGATACAATAAACTAATCGCACATATATACAGTACTAAATAAGTGTCTTCCTGGTCTAGATTTAAAGCCATTCAGAACTAAGGAAACACTAAATGTCATCACCCTTTGTAAGTAAGCAAGTCCCCGTAGCGCAGCGGATAGCGCGCTGGACTTCTAATCCAGAGGCCGCGGGTTCGAATCCCGCCGGGGATGCTTAATATTTTTTTTTTTTCGTATTTCTTTCCGAATTTTATATGATTGTTGATCAATTTTGGTTAAATGCCATTATAAATAAACTTCGCGTGAGTTTATTTGTACACGATTTTATGATACTGTAATCTGTACAGCGAAGTTTTATTTATTTTTCACCTTATTGTAATTAAATTTCTATGTTTATATGTCTGCTCTGCTGTACTTTTTAGTATGATACATTCCGCGAAGTGGCAGCTGAATATACATGCCCAAGGTGTACAATATCAGTAAATGCTCTAAATAAATATCCTTTGTCATATCTTGAGTTAACGTACTTGTGTTGTCTTAAAAACATTATACTGATGATAAGGACAAAACCACTCCGTTAGTAATTACCTCTGAGTACCAGGGGAACAATTGTTTGACTCACAAGGCTATGACAATGTTTAAACATGTCTGCCAACATGGCATAAATCATAATCCAAACTAAAATTCCATAAAACCATGGTAAAATATGATCAAAAGAAATAACAACACGGAGATTTCTGAAAAGTACAAGGAGAATAAGACCATATATGCCTCTTCTGTTTCATCGACGACACCCGCCATATCAAGCTTGGTCAATCCAAGTAGGTAATGTCACGTTCTCAAATGAGAACAATGTAAGAAACAACGGAACCAACAGGCAAACGATGATATATTGTCTGTTGTTATTTTATAGAATCAATGTTTTTTGTTGTTTAAAAAATCATAAAGAGAATTTTCATTTAAAAATGATAATTCATAGTATATGAAACAATGGGTGATTTCCTTTTTTTTGTTTTCTATCCTCGGTTTAATGTGTACTGGTTAGCTGAATTGACTGGTATCACGATAAACGCGGTGATTTTCAGTTCCAAATGTGACCCTAACTCTCGCTCCACAAATCACCCGTATATCCCTCAACCAAACTGACCCACTGAACAATACCATCATTATCATAGCTCATCTGAACGACCACACACAGCATTCCATTCCCGGGATACCCATTCTTCTAAAAATAAAAAAAATAAATAACTGTCAACCAATATTTGAATCAAAACACATCATTTTCTTACTAATCACTCAACTGGTCTTAAAATAATATACAACCAGATGACCTGGCAGGACATCCTCTCTGATTTACACAGCTAATCCGCTCTGACACCACTCTCTTATCAGTCCGTTATTTAGAATAACGACACTAGCTTTATCTCTCTGTCTGTCCCTCCCACTACTTTCAAACATAGCGTTCACTTCATCCCCACTCCACCTCATCCCCCCCCCCCATATTTACAGTTTAGTATACATTTTATATGTAACTAAAGCTTATTAAAAAATACATAGATCACAGGAAGCTAATTCAGGCTTATTATGCTTAGTTGCTTTGAATGTCTCAGTTCACGTCATTGTTTTAAAAAACTGAAGCGAATATGCTGTACATGACATCCAATATTTTAACCATCGCCGACATTGCTGGATTACATACTACCTATATATCATAACGGACATGATCCCGCTTATAATTATATTACTTAACAAAATGTTCAATTCTGTTTACATATTATATCGTATATCGTAAGTTACTTAACTTCCTTTACTATAAAAGTATGATTTTGGCATTACATACCTGGGACATGTCTAGTTCGAGGATATACTGTCGAGGAGAATACGACGCAATATAAACAGTGTAGACACAGGCCAATGTCCAGTCCTCGTTGTTTTTCCTCTTGTCGTGGTCCCGTCATCAGTGTGTTTAAGTGCGCATGAAATCTTGTACCTAAGGTCTATTTAAATCGTCCTCACACTGTATTAATTAACATGGACATGTGCCACAATACAGCATATTTACAGATCGTGCCCACTGCATGTTTTCATCCGAAAAATTCAGTATTATTTCTTACTTTCCGACATAAGAGCACCGTTGTGACATGATGGTCCATTCAATCTTGAAAGTCACCTGTTAACCTTCTAGTGTCTCCCCAAACACTGACACTGGACAATTTCATCCTAAACTTATCATAGCTCATGTCTCTAGCAATACAATACATTCTCCCAACCTCAATACAGTTTAACAACAATACACACTCTTGTAACAGTATACAGCAACATGACCTCGCGCGGGGCTCTCTTCCTCCGTTATCAGCCAATTAATATGAACCGCGGACTGCCCCCCCCCCCTCCCCTTCGGCGCAAGCTTGAAGATATTGTCTGGTCAGGTTCCTGGTCTAGTCTAGTATCGTAGTTTGAAATTCTTTTATAAATTATGAATCAGTGGAAATTTTCAAATTATCAGTCCAGTTGTTAGTCGATGCAGCTATTACTTTATCGAATTAGATATAAATATTAATACAACTTCCCTGACACATTAACGTTTGATTCAAGGTCGTAAAACACTACCTTGTATCAGGAAAGTAACCTAATTAAGTGACATTGAATGATAAAAACCCCTCCATTGCTCCTACTTTGTATTTTCTGTTCTTGATAAAAGCAAGGCGATCTCAGCTCGTCTTTCAATCCCTACTCTACCCAGTTGTTGCCTCACGTTATAAATATTTAGGACCTTGCTTGAGTTTCCAATTGATATGTATATAGTGATGAAACGAGCTAAACTGAAACATTCGTGATTAGTTTCATAAATCAACTATGAAATAGAATCGAATTGAAGATCATTTTTATCGCATAATCGTTCATTCAATCAAATATGGTAGACTATACGGATATTTCCACGTAAACTTGAAGCCATTTCCGTTCCGTTTAGTTATCATTATTACACGAAGTCACACTCCTGTGAATATATGACGTCATTTTATTACCCTAAATGACGTCACAATAAGCCATACAACACATGTACAATAAACCAAAATATGACTTTGATTTGTGATATGTAGCCAATCTGCATTAAATAGCCATTTGACAATTTTGTCGATTGGCAAGAAGGGATTATGTATACGTCTCTGGTTTATCAGTCCAGTTTAAGATTTTTACAAACAAATATGACACTGTGTAAAAGTTTCAATTTTGTGAATAGTTTAATCTGTTTTCAGGCTGATAATGACGGTTTGTCTCATCCTTTTGCATAATATGAAACATGCCCCGTTTTCTGCGAGTGTGTGTTGTTTTTCATCAGGAAGAGCTGTTTTTTTTTCAATTTTATTTTTCAATTTGAATTTAAAATTACCTCAGTATTTCTGAAAGTGATGTACACTAGATTTTTATTCCAATTTTATTCCGAATCATTCCATTTCGAGTCATTCTAATCGGTTTTCAAGGAGCTGGTCCGAGATTGAGTTGACAATATGAGACAAACTTGGTCCGCTACTTTCCGTGATCTTGTTCTGTGAAGATCTTATGAATTAATACGTGCTTGGTAGAACGAAGTGGAATTGTTATTTGAATTCGTATCTGGTCATACAGTACTAAATTTTACTACTAATGGGGTGTTGTTTTTTAGATTCACGACTTACCTCCCCTCTCCAGAGTTCATCAACATCTACATCAGGTGGCGCCACGTTGATCTCTAATTCCGGCAAAATGGAGGAAACGAAGAGTAGAAGGCCCAAAGGTTTGTAGTGTATTTTTTGTACCATTACGCGATACAGATCTAATATTTATGTTAATACATCAAACATGAATACGATTCTTTCACTTACTACACAACTTTAGAGATGAATCGAGATGATTATTTCGTGATAAAATATGCCCACCTTGGGAACGAAATAACAACAACAAACAGTTGTCCGACAGGTTCACAATATCGTTACATGAGCAATGGGTTACCTTAAAACACCGGAATTTATCACAAATGTTCGCAGATGGTCGCATATTCAATATTGATTGCAGATACTACAGTTGCCCGTGTCTTAATGAAACAATGTAAAGGGCTATACTTGAAATGAAAATCGAATGAAACCACCCCTACTTAAATCTACAATTACTGCATGTGCTAGTTCGATTTCGCAATGTTATTAAAGAACAAATCAACACTTTTTATATTATGATAATAATGGAATATACTACCTGATGTTAATCATGTAATTAAACCATTACGTATATGTACCAGGCTTCTGTCTGTGAGGCTTTCCATCAATGGGCTGTTAAAGATAATAAATATAACACAATCCCATGCATTGTGTTGTCAAAAATAAAGTTTATGCTTACATAAGTGATGGATGAATTGTTATTGCAGAAACAAAATTTAAGCAGCAGAAGCTTCCAGCATGGCAGCCCATTCTGACAGCAGGCACAGTACTGCCGGCATTCTTTGCTATTGGCATTGCATTCATTCCACTCGGTGTTGCTCTTCTGATCACATCCAATTCTGTGAGTATAGATTTCTAGTTAAGAAAGCAAAATGATGATTTTGAACTTATTACACTGTAAATATATGTGTACAGATAAAATAATACTATAGTATGTTTATTGCAAGTTAAAATTTTGAATGTTTTCGGGTCATAACATATACCATATGACATCTCTGATGAGTTCATACCAGCAGTCACCAATATCACATCTTGAGATAAAATAAAAAGAAATCAAACCTGCTATGAAATATTAAGTTTAGTGATAAATTGATAAATGACTCAACTTTGGTAACAAAGTTGTATACCCATAGAAAGTGATTTTATGTCTTACAAAAGGTTACAGTCTTGTTTTTGAAAATGAAGAGTATAATTGACTGAACTACACAGGATGGATCGTATGACTTTTTGGATGAGGTCGCTTATATAATTAGTTGGTTATATTGTCTCATGAGATCAAGGATTTGAACTGGTTTTTGCATTTCACTAAATGTTTTGTATTTATGTAACTACAATACTTGATTTTTTTTCAGGTCAAGGAATTTACTCATGACTACACCCAATGTACAACTACGGCTGGAGACACCTGTGCTTCTCAACTGGCAGCCATTGGTACAAACAACTCGGGATTTGTATGTAACTGTACTGTAACATTTACTTTACCAGAGGATTTTGAGGTTTGTTTTGATTCCATGAATTGTTCTTTTCCAACATTAACCTGATGCCTGCTAATAAGCCCACATATATCAAAGTTCTGTAAAATTGTAACAAAAACTATTTTATTGTCATGCAATAAGTTCTGTTTCAATTAAATTTCCTATCATGGACCCCTGGGCTTATTATAAGACGAATAATTAAGTTTAATCAATGATAAGTCATTTTCTGTGATACTATACAGTAATTGACAAGTATTTTCTTTTTGAATTTTTTGCTATATCAATTCACATTCAACTTCAACATGACAATATACAGAGTTATTGAGATTAAATGCAATGTTTGTGGTAAATGAATACTCTATTAGAAACTAAGGCATATCAAAATTAAAACATCAACTTTAACCTATTTTATTGGATGCTTGAATTGATATTCTCCTTATTGTTTATGGTACAATGATCAGTTTGTATTGTCTTGGTGCCCTTGGTAATGATTTTAAAACTCAGACTTGGTTTAACCTTACAGAAAGATGTGTATTTGTACTACGGATTGTCAAACTACTACCAGAATCACAGACGATATGTACGGTCTCGTGACGATAACCAGATACATGGAGATTCTGTCTCTGCTGGCTCACTGCTGTCTGATTGTGAACCCTACCTTACCAAACCATTCAACTCTACCCTTACCTTACCTATAGCACCTTGTGGAGCCATTGCCAACAGTCTGTTCAATGGTAATTTTTAATTATCTTCTTGATTTCAGAAGTTAAGTACAGGATAATCTTATTTTATTGCCACATATTGTAAACCACGCTCATATACTATCATAAATTTTATCGGAACAGATTTCTCTTCACTTAAACACACCTATTGCCTTGCCAAACTTGCATATTACAACTTGCCACAATGTTTAAAGAACAGTTTTACAAATAGACCTTTGCATTCCCCCAATAACACTGCCACAAAGTCACAGAATTTTCATGTCAAATGGTCTGCCAATCACAGCCACGATCAGTTGTGTACACTTAACACAACAACATTTAAATGTTTGTTTAAATAATCTATACCAGAGTACTATCACTTTGAGAAGATTTTTGAACATTACTTAACACTATTCAATGACATTTTCATTTGAAGTTAACTGTTTTTTTCAATTAGTAGATGATGATCTCAGATTCTTCTGTATAGCTTGTTGTAAGACATATGTGCATGAACAAATGAAAACAAAAATGTCAAATTCCCAGATTTGTGCCACATATCAATAATCATGATTCTGATTGAAGAATTTCAACAGGCTTCATAATGTTCAAACTATTTTTACATTGAAAGTTTCCATTCATAGAACAGGTCAATGACATGATAAGCACTCTTTCGGCCATAAAATCCATAAGTCTAGACCATCAGACAAGCTGTTAATTTGCATTTACAATGCAATATGCTAGATGTAGAGTGAATACGAGTGAAGAAATATGCATTGTTTATTTACAAATAAAGGTCTTTGGACGGAAGGTGGCAATATAAAGAGGTTTTACTTCAATTTCAGTATACAAAAACTGAAGAGAATTGGGATTTTCTTTTCAATGTGGTAAAAAATTAGAAAATGTTTTCCTGAAAATAGAAAAATGAGATGAGATTGACACTGATAGGAGTATGTTGAAGTTTTAGAATTGCAAATGTTTTTTTTTAAGGTAACTAGTTACACATTGTCTGGATTCATGTCAGTAGAGATTTTGATATTTACATCATGTAGTTTATAGGAGAAAATTGAAAGTAGACAGCATTCTTTCATACCTATGCTTTAAAGAGGTGACAAATCCTTACTTGAAAGACAGTGTAGATTCATTAGTAACTAGTTCAAACTTCATTGACAAAATATCTGATATGTTTTATCTTAAAAGACCATCTAATGTTTTGATTAAACATTACACATAATTCAAATTTCTACAGACAGCTTCAGCCTGACTTACAATGGTGGCTCATCTGCTGAGTCTGTGACACTTCTGAACACTGGAATAGCTTGGCTGTCAGACAAGAAGGACAAGTTCAACAATCCTGCCAGTAAGTAGGATACAATTCAATATATATATTATTTATTTGTGTACTGTCTTTCATTCACTCACATTTTATGTTGCCTTTAACAATCAAGATTCCCTGCCTTCAGATTTGAAATTGTAAGCTTGATAAAATACATAAACATTAGGTGAAACTTTTTATTTAGAATGTCTGATTAAACAAGTCTCAGTTTATATAAATGTTTGAATATGAAAGCAAATTATGTATAATGAGTGTTAATGAAGCTTTACAATGAAATTTTCTTTAGTTAAATTTCATAGCTCTTTTCAGTTGTTAAGTGAACGTCCTACAGTACTACAATATTGTTTTATCATTATTAATCTTTTTTTTTCATTAGTAAAACTATGGAAAAGTACAGAAAAGAAAATAATATAAGTATACAAATATATTGCATACACCTTTCCTGTACATCACTATTTATCAGGCTGGAGTGGCTTCACCAACCCTCCAAGCTGGCCCAACAAATATGCCTGGACACTTGATGAGAACAACACTGACAACAATGGCTATGTTAACGAAGACCTCATTGTCTGGATGAGGACTGCAGCTCTCCCAAACTTCCGCAAACTTCACCGCAGGATCAGTCATCAAGGCACCTTCCTGAATTCCCTGCCTAAGGGCAACTACACCATCAATATTAACTATGGTATTTATTTTTTGTGTTAACAAGTAAGGAAGATTATGAAAGGAGGCGGGGCGCAACTCCGAAAAATCTGACCCTCAAGTAGATTTAGTTAATTTTCATATCAACAATTCATTTGGATGTTTGGTTCTTTGAAACAGTTGTGATCCCCCACTGAATAACTATAGTATTGCGGAGCATCAGGGGATAAAACACAATCATAACTGATAACTTGTCTTAGATATTGGTTCCACCTCAGGACAAATGATATCTTTGGAATCATTGAGATTACCATCCCATAACTTGATAGCATTGCTTGACATCAAGAGATTGACAACTGATCTCTGTCCTCACCCCAAGGGAACTTGAAGCTGTATTTGTGGAGTGAGGCTCATCAGGGGAAACATTTTACTTCTAAAGTAATGTAAAGTTTTGCATCTTGCCTATTGTTACCTGTGAATTATCAGGTTGAGGGCCCCGATGGAGGCAAAAAAAATTCATACATGTGTGTATGATATAACTAAAACTTTTGGTTAGCAAATAACGTATGCATATATAGGAATATTTCTACATAGTGTATTTTATTTATTTGTTGAATACAATTAATTTCCAACTTAGCATAGTGAATTAATTATAGTGTTTTTTTCACATATCAACATTATAAAACAAAAATTTCATCACTGGGTCATGGGGTGACGAGGTCAAATTCTAGAGTTTGTCTACATTGTCGGCAGGTTTGATGCAGGTTACAAAAATACATTACGGGATTATATGATCTTAATCAACATGGCCTTCATTAATATTTAAAAGTATAGACACTGGTGGAGAGGTGTTATACTGTATGTAACATTAGGTCCTACCTATGCATTTGCAATCATTGAAAGCCTCAAACAAATCCAATATTTTATATGTTTTCAGTATAATTTAAAAATACATTCACAAAATAAAGGATTATTTGTGCAAAATTCATCAGTAAACTTTATTTAATGTCACACTGATTATCTTGATAAACTGTCATCTATTATCTGCTTATAACCCAGAAAATAAATACCTCTTTCATGGGGAATTTATTTATATTCAGAGGGGAAAACATACTAATTGGGGAATACTACCCTTTTCTGGTAGTAAAAGTTGTCTCCATTAATCTCTGAACTGTTCATTTTGATGATGGTTTATATAAAAAAGTTTGAAATAAGGAAATCTTGAAACAAAGTCAACAATAAAACAGATTCTGCTGTTCCATATTTCTTCGTAAAAAATTAAAAGTTCTTTGATATTAAGGAGTGATAGAAAAATGAGCAAGATTTGAAGAGCTATTTAAAAAGTTTGTATATTTCTTCTGTAAGCCTACCCAGTGACTTCCTTTGATGGCACAAAGCATTTCATTATCTCCACAACGTCCTGGCTGGGAGGAAAGAACCCATTCCTTGGGATTGCCTACATTGTAGTGGGAAGTATCTGCATCCTGTTGGGAGTTGTCTTCCTCATCATTCACATCAAGTATGGCAAGAAGTAAGTAATATGTTTGTTTTCATGTAGTACTGTTTGTTTATGCTGGTCATTAGAAAGCACATGAATTAAGGATAGCTTAGTACTAGATATAGGTTTTAATATGCTGTTGTTCCCTGTTGTGAATCACTTTCTGTGTGTCAGACAAATTGTCTCAAATTGCATTATATTATGTGGTATGCACTAATAGGTCAAAAACACTGTATGGATAAAGTTTCTTTCAATTTTTGAAAAAAAAACTATGGTTGTGAGCAGCATGATTGATGTGTAAATAAAACCCGACAAGCTAACTAACATATCTATTTGGTATTTGTTCTCATGGAAATAGATATGTAATACAGTAAATGTTGATACAAGTTTTTACATTTATGATGATAATTTGGTGCAAAAAAGGAGAAATATTTTTACTGTATATTCACTTTCCTTCAAATTCTAATTATTTTAATTTCCATTCTCAATTAATTTCTAAAAAAAAAAATCTGTTTTCATTCTTATGTATAGTCATTTTGAATTCTAATATTTCATCAAACATATTTTGTCTTTCCTTATGAAAATCAAACTCAATTAACAGAGACTGTCTTTGAAAATTAAATTATTTAATTAACTATACAAAATAAATTGATGCTATATTTGTATTTGTCCGCTTTGTTGCCTTTTCTTCTTACTATCTATATCTGATTTAGTATTCATGGAGATGAAGGAAACAGTTTACGTTCAGAAAATGAATATTTGTAAGTGGAAGGATTATTTGTATAATATAACTACAAGGACTACAAATTGTAGTTACATGTATTGCATTTACCAAACATTTGATATTTCGTTAAATCCCTCTTTGCACATCTAAATAAATCATACACATTATTTACAAATAAGTATATCACCAATCAGCACCCCTGTACTGTAAATCACTTATGTTTCGTGTGGTATTTATATTTTTGTTTATACACGAGGAGAACCATTTACAAATTAAAATCTCCAGCAGTTATTTGTAGGAATCTGTTGATGACATCCTTGTAATTCTGTCGTTAACGTGTTTTTACTTCTGTTTACATTTCCCGGAAAACATGTTACGAAACCTCATGTTAAACCCTGCACACTATGTCTTGCCTATTGAGGTCCTTTCAATTTGCCTTGAAAACAAAAGCATATTAAATGTTCATGATTGTTTCTTTTGTCTTCATACTACCTTGTATTCTGGTAAATACAATTCAATATGGACACAATATGTATCACATGACTACGGGTAAATAACTTTTCAAGTATAGTCCTATTCAAAGTCTTTTCTAGATCAACGTTTGCGAAATCATGTGTTTGTGAATGTGTCTGCAGATGTGAGTTCACGAAAATGTATATATGAAATAGAAGTAATTTACAGTACATGATGGTAATTCCTGATTAACTTAATGAGTTTTTAATTTGTTCATTAAAAATTAAACCTATTAGAATATTCCATTGTAAACAGTACATTCCTTTTAATGTATTAAGCAACAAGTGACATTATATGTTGTGATATAAAGTTGATAATATTGTATACAGTGTGAATACTGCACTCTAGATAAGTATACAATATCCAGTTTTCAAAATATGTTTTATAGGAATAGTTTTGCATTTTTCACTATTAAGGGAAACTTCATTTTGAATTATAAGACGAAGTATACTGGCTATTTGATAATATACCTATATTTATGTGTAGTATTGTCTACAGAGTTCATTCGAGTAAGTAACAAGTTTATACACAGTTGGAAGGAATTGCATGGGGTTTTATTTGGTTCCTTTGTAAAATTAGATTATTTGTTGAAGCTTTGGAGATGTTAGGATTGTTGAGTTATGAGGGATGTGTTGCTTGTTTCCTTTTTTACAAAATGTGTTGTGAAGAAATAACTTAGGAAGCTGCTTCTGAAATAGTTGGCATGGATTATAAGGCAAATTAGCAGCTAAACATGGAAGAGTTGTAGTTGTATAGCATCACATGATTATTGTTAAATTTACATAAATGAACCATAAGTGAATTGAAATACCAGTTTCAAAATTGTGATAAATCTGATACTAAGAGATAGAGTAGTAGGATATTAAATTTTAGTGAGTCCTACAGGAAAAGCATGAAACCAGTAACAAAAAATTTGAATCCTCAGAATTGCTGAACAAATCACTGTTTGGAACAGTCTTAAGACAAGATCAAAAACCTTGGTTTGATTGAAATTCTTTGTCAGTTACATGGTTCTGAATCTTATCACTATCAATATATGTAGGGCTTGGAATATAATGAAGGACATGCATGACTCTGCCGAGGATGATGAGAATGAATAAGGTAACAGAAAACCCTGTCAATATTTTTGCAGTATCATCCCTTGCTTTTTTGGCAATATACAGCTAGGATTCAATGCATTGTTTTTCAGGATGTAAATATAAGATTTCAGTTGTATAGTACATATATTGCTATTCAGCTTAGCTAGCTTTTGACAATATCTGGAAGTTATTATTTTGTATAAATCATTCATTTGAAAAGGTTTCCCCAGCATAAAGTGGGTATGTATTAACAAATAAAAATTTAAGCAATAGATTTCTGTAATGTATGAAATACATATTTCACATTTCAAATATTTACTGGCATATGATTGGCCTATATTTTTCTCATAGTATTTTCAAATTAATATATAAACTAACTAGATCTAGTTCTTTATATGTATACTGTATTATTTTTGATTCTAGACTGAACTCTAATGCAGTGTGCCAGTAGTTTCTGTAGCTGTGCACTAGAGTTACTTTCATTGCCTTACCTGATCCCAGCCACTACTTACAAGCTCCTCAAACCATTCCTTTTAGATTTGCTAGAACTGTAGTATACTTTGTATATATGCTAGAGATCTATATGTGGGATTTTCAGCAGCAGAAAAGCTACTCAAAGGGGTTTTGGAAGGGGAATCTGTTCCAAATTGCCAGCTAGATAGAAGAAAAAGAAAACTAGTGGTACTGAGTTTTCAATTTAGGTTCAATTGTTTATAATTTTACTGACATTATTATACTATAAGCATTCTTATTTTTGTGAAATATAATTTTAGCATATTTTCATATTTAGCAAATAAGGGCAATAATGAATTAGCACATCCTCATTAATTTATATAGAATTAACATAAAGATACAGCAATCCCATATCTATATTCTAGCTTAACTCTTTTCCTGTTGGAAAAGTGTTTAGATAAGATTAGCGATAAAACATCGATATTCACAGTACTTACAGTAATTGATGTGTGAGTTTACAATAGAGATAAATTGAACAAGAATATTTATATGTTTGTATTTTGTCTTACATATTTATTGTATATGTATATAGGAAATGAATTATTAGATTTCTAATAGTTGCATCGCAGAAATTTGAATTTAGATAAATAAAGAAGTCATCTAAAACATGGAGAGATTAATAAATTTGCTTTTTCCACTGCAAAGATGTCCACAAATTAATAAAGAATTGATAAATCTTACTTTATTTGAGTTTTGACAGTAAAGTTTTTCAGTCGAATTTCTGTACAATATTTCAGTTTATTACAACGTATTTCAGGTATAACGACATAAGGATGATAAGACATAAGGATGATAAAGTCAGGTTGACAACCATGTGTTTATTAGTCCTCTTCCAGACTCTATCTCCAACACTACTAGTCACTTTATCATCATACTTGGGGTATAGGTAAAAAAATTAGGCAATTTTACCTACATTTTGACCTTTCACATCAGAGAAAAAGTTTTCTTTACAACAACCATTTGTAAAATAAAAATGAAACACTGTAAGGATTTGTAGCTTTAAAGTTGAAATATTCATCAAGCAAACTACAAACATCTGTTTTTCTATCTAACATATTTCTCATTTCTCAACAAATGCAAGAGGCATGTTTCTGACACACAAAACCCACAAGGGAGGTAATTCTGTCCAATGGAAGAACTTGGAAAAAGAAACAATTTGATAAGTTTTCAAGTAAATGTATTTGACGCAACTATATATGACAATAAGAATCTATTAAACTGCAGCTGTATATGTTTGAGAAAGATTAATTCTGTTTCAGGTAGACATTCTGTGACATCTCTCATGAGGTTTTGTAAAGGGAATATCAGCCCTTTACTATTGAGGTTTAATGTATAGTCATGTAAAAAGAAAAACAAAAGAATATAGCGAACACTTAAGTAGGATATTTACCTTGACTATGGAGTACATACAATCCAAATGAGTTAAATTATTTCTTTTTATCCTTAATATGTATATATGAAATACTACTTAATATATATTTCCAGCTAAAAATTCTTTATTTTTGACCTGTCAAAGATATGATGTGACATGTGATGTCTTTGGATAACTGGAGTAGTTTAATACCTTGACATCTCAGATAAGTTCAATCACTCTAATTTTCAGACTGTAATTAGTGGAGATATGGCCCCTTATTCAATTACCAAAACAGTGTCCGCTCGATATCTCAATTAATTTTAAACAAATCAACTTCAAACTTGAAAGGAAGGTTCAATACCATGATAACAGAAATAAGTTTGATGACCACATCATTTCAAATGTAATTCAAGGAGTTATAGTCCTTTATTCAATGATCAAAACAGTCTGCTTGATATCTTGATTAGTTTTCAGTGGGCCAACTTCAAATTTCATATGGAGGTTCATTGCCATCAAAGTTAGGACAAGCTGGATAACCACATTTTTTGGCTTGTAATTCATAGATTTATGTCCCCTTATATCAATTACTTAAATAGTTTCTCAATATCTCCAGTAGTTCCCAATGAAATCACTTAAAACTTCATATGGATGTTCACTATCACAGTTGCTCTAACAATTTTGATAACCAAAGCTATTTGCCTGTCACTGAGTTATTGCCTTTGTGGCGCTAAAAGAACAATAACTTGATTGTTATCACCATTGACGCTCAGTGGTTTACTTTGGTTTCCTTCTACATTACACAACTAGCGCTGTCTGAATGACTTCAATATGTTGATATGACATTAAACATTGCTTTCCTTCCCTGTCTTTGCTGCAAAATGCTCATTCAGCCTATGACAGGTGTATCATGTACCGCCTCACTGCAGTCTGATATCAAAGTATCAAACCGGCAGTGAAACTTGTGTATTACTTTAATTTTTCAGGAATTTCTTGGTCCGTTCCATTCAAAACATGTGTTAAGTTTACATCAAATCTATTACATGAATGTCAACCAAATTATCTCAAAATATCAATGAGAGTGTAAGAATGTGGTTATGTAAAATATTAGAAGCATATTAGAATTCAATATCTTGCAGACATTTAATTTTCCTATAAAAGTGAGTTGATGATAATTTTACTTTTGATGCAATGATGAAATATAAAATAAATGAGTGTTGATTGCAGTCACAAAAAGTCACACAAAAGTATGGTACTAAAAGATGTGCAAAGATAACCTGGTATGATGGTTATGAAATTTTACCAAAGGCTGGAATTTCATCGTGTGCTTATTTTTGTGTTATGATGTAATTGTTCCTTAAAAGATACTTTTTTGTAAAATTAAAAAAAAAGATGTTTAGAATATTACTTAAGACTGCATTGAATGTTTTTTTCTTTTTAAATTTTGATGATGTTTACATTAGATTTGATTTCTCTCTGCAGAGTCTCCGAGACCATCAATGTAACCAGCAGAACTGCATATTGAGGTAGAGGAGAATTCGCCAAGCAAGGGAAGTAATCTGGAACAAACTTAAAAAACATGAACTGGAGGTCACTGGCAATATCAACTACGTGCAATTTCTAGAGGACTGGCCTCCTGTTCAGCTGTAGTGTACTTGACCAAAAAAACTTACATATTACCTTGTGGATATAATATCTTTTATTGTTGTGTATGTGAGAAGGAGTTGGTGCATGTGTTGATATTGTGACATTGTATTTTACAAGTGTTTGTTTTATGACATGTATTAAAAATTGAAACAGATTAGTAGCAAACAGAAAGTACACTTTGTCTAGATTTCATATGTTTGATAAATTACAAGTCACTTGTTTGTTGCAAACTCTTGTAATATTGTGTTGGAAAACACAGAAAAAATTACAAAGCATACCTGAAGGATGCTTTGCTATCTTTTTGTATTAGGAAATTTTAGATCATGATTATAGACGGTTAGATTATTGATAATGAGTGGAAATTGAATTTATTTGTTACGTGTCTTTAAGATTTTTTTCAATTTTGATTTTAAAGACGGAATATGTATGAATGTTGATAAGAATAAGAAATGACATGTAGTTCAAGAAGATGTGTATGAATGAAGAATGGAATTATGAAATCCCAGTATAAAATAATAGTGACCTTAGTCTAATTCTTTAATTCTCAAATCATTCTTGCATTATATTTGAGTAATCATATCTCGCAATTCAAAATAATATTTCTATTTAAGAATATTTATTAAGTAGCATACATAATTGCTATATTTATTTAGATACAAATTAGACCTCTATTGCTTTCATACTCTTTTGTGTTCTGTCGCCAAGTATAATGGTCTTCATAGTGAGCACGGATAAGTCTTAGGGTTACTCAGCTTTCAGGATAAATCTAAATATATGTACATGAATATAAGAAAAAAAGATATATGCGAGGAAGAGATAATCAAGAGTCTTATCTTTAAATTGCCATACACCAACTTTTAGACCTTCAGTGTTTCTCATTTGATACTAGTCTTTATGCTTGATTGATAACTTATTATATATATCAGTTTACTTTTGAAATCTGACTTCACCATCACCTAACCTCTGGCACATGCTTTTAAAGCAAGCTTTTCATGTTTTAAAGATATTAACCTTCTGTTCATTTGTTGCCTCATTTCAACCAAGTAACATTCAAATACGAAAGAATGAAAGTCAGTTCAAATGTAGGTTTCATTACATTGTAATGTTTGAGAATTCCTGTATCAGCTCTGGTATGTAATAACCGAATGGTCCAGTTGTCTTTGACATGTTGATGAAGCCAGATTTCATTGTAGCTGATTTTTGTTTCAGGGCACCAAGGCAAGGAACATTCACAACTCCAGTTTTAGAATAAACATATCAATATTCAGCTAATCATTAAAATTGGGAAAACTTTGTCCTAAGAAATTTGTAACTGCATTCAGGTACATCAATTAAAAATGATTTGTATTATATCTCATAGGTTGCTAGCAGCTAAAGGTGTAACTCAGTAGCAATATTTTGGTAATTCCTGCCTTGGTGCTCAGACTCAGTCATTTGATATGATGTCATGGCTACATTGTAGATGTTATACATGTATATACAAAATGTACATACCGGTATATTGAAATATTTATATATAAAGAGACTGTGATTTTAAATACTATTATGATAAATGAAATGTAACGGGATTGTGAGAATGATGTTTATTTCACAGATGAATAAATGGTTTGGTATTTCTTAACACAATCACACTGTACTTTTTTTCAAACACAACTCTGAAAATTTCGTGAGGTTTTTTTATTGTTCTATAACTACCATGAATGCTTCTATATTGAACATATCATCAGTGAGCCAAAGCAAAATGTGTTTAGAACTGTTCAGATGTGTTTTTATGCTTTAATCAGCTTTGGAATAGATGTGTTCTATTTGTTTTATCTTATTGCACAAGTGTGTATTGAATAAAGTCTGGAACTGTGCATTGGAATTCTTACTGAAATTGTTAAGTTCCTTTGAAATAACATATTTTGAATTCATGTCTGAAAGGTTCATTTGAATGAAAATCAAGTTTGAAGTTTTCCATTACGTATACAAACTTACATCATCAAATTTGTGCTTACCTGTTTGTACTCTATTATATAGAACACTCATGAAGGTAGATCTGAATGTCCGTGTGTGTGAATTAAAAAAGTTATCAGTTACAAGTAACAAGTTATAAGTAAACGTTGGCCCTTATATAGATATTGACAAGCCAGGATTATTAAAAGTCATACCAAGGATCAAGGGAAAACCAATGATACTGTACTTTGTACTTTTAAATGTTCATGATTGTTTTACACTTTACCATATATTTAACTTATAGCTTATTTTCTTTGTATTGTCAGAGGGTGAAGTCATCAGTTGTTTATACATACAAGTGTACAGCATAGTAAGCATTGTCAGAGGGTGAAGTCATCAGTTGTTTATACATACAAGTGTACAGCATAGTAAGTGAATGTACCGGGTAATGAAAGTTGGGTAAACAATTATGGCTAATATGATGATTTTTTAGTAGTTAATTGGAAATGTTGGATTGGATATTACCATCATCTGAGGAAAAAGAAGACAAAGATCTTTAACTTATCTGGTTTTTTGCATTTCCATTTGCACCTCTCTTTCAATTTTCAATTCTTTTTTCATCGTGTTACTTCGTGTTAACAAATCGGAGAAATTTACTACTTTAAACAAAGAATGTAGACTTAATGTTTTTTATGGTGTGGTGGATTTGTTTAAAAACATGTGAAGTTGATGCAATTCAGGTTTTAAGAGTGATTTAATTAAGTCTTTTAGTGTGAGAAAGAAATATAACTATTGAGTAGATTCTTTACATTCCTTTAGGATTAAAATCAGAATACACATATTGTTAATTAAGATTTGAACTGGAAATAGTTGTCATTATGAATAATCATATTGTTTTTTTATTAATAAATTGATCATTATTTATGATTATATATATATATATATAGTTTTGTCTCTATGTATTTATAATAGATATAAAGTAGGGTTTAATGATAAAACTCCTAAACAAATGACATGATGTCACTCTCACAACAAATGACATGTCACTCTCACAAACAAATGACAAGATGTCACTCTCACAAACAAATGACAAGATGTCACTCTCACAAACAAATGACAAGATGTCACTCTCACAACAAATGACATTATACTCTCTATCATGACATGTTTTGAATAAAAGAAAGAATAGTTTTGCATGAAAATGAAATTTTTATGAAATCTGGGAAAAGACTGATTCGATGGTTGAATTTTCATCTTGTCAAGATATCCTGTATCTGGCACCAAGTTCATGCTTGGTAATAAGCTCATCTATGTCTAACGATATTACACCATCTCTTCCCAAAAATTGAATTTCTCTCCCAGGTTTACAATTGCAATATTAACACAGTATCCTTACAAGTATTATGTAGATGTTTTCAGGATATGAACTCCTAGTGTGTCAATCATGGATCTTACCATTTAAACACATGAAGATGCACAGACTACTTCACAAAATTGCAGGTATAAGACACACTGATCTGAAACTTCTTTCTAGTACTAGACAGAATAGAGGCACTTTTAACACAACCATCTAATCACACTAATTTCCAACTTCGTTGGTTGATTCCCTACCATCTCGCATGTTAGTGCTAGTACATTTGTAGTCAATGAAACATCACATTACTGGTTGTGTTGTAAGAAGTCATATTCTATTCACCATCTAGTAATGTTTTAATAATGAATGTTGCAAAAGGTAGAACTTTCAACTAGGGAAATGGTCGGGAGAAAATTTCATGTTTTACTCTGACCACCTATCTAGTTCATACATTTTAAATGATTAGAGATTTAAAACATCTTTTCCAGCACAACCGTGTCACACCTGATGAAGAGCTATTAAATTGGTAAAAGTGAATAAATTTGATCAAGGAAAGAGAAAGAAAAAGATTCAGACAGTGGAAAGTCTAAGTGTAACCTGGAGATTTCTAGTTCTAATTAGAGCTGTTTGAAAACAGCATAGCTCACCTATTACCGACTTATCACCAGTGATTCTCAACTGACAGGTATGGGAAATGGGATCGATTAATAAAAAAGTTAAGTTTACAATGTTAAAATACCATTTTTTGAAGGAAAACATTTCTTCTTTTCATTGAATGAATTGTACAACATAAAACCACCTCTAATGCAATTCCATCATCCTATCATTGAACTATATATTAGAAACTTATCTACCTTGAAGCAAATCTTTTAAGTTAAAACAACAGAACTTGACCCAATGCTATTTTCTGTTAGAGAAAAATACTTTCACATTTCTATATTAAATGAATCACGCACCCCAAAACAACCCTCATACCAAATATCAGCATCTTAGGATATACATTTAAAAGTATACTAGAACACGAATCCCACACCAGATTAACTAACCTCCTACTAAATATCTGCATACTAGAACATTTACTTCATGATATACTAGATAATTTCATATAACTTACAACAAATCTTTTACTTAGCTGGCAATGCTTATGCTAATGCCAGAATGATTCCAAAGACCCCTATTTTTAAAAAGGTGAGCTAAAAATGACCCAAACCTACAAGGACAACATATAGCATGATTAGAATTGTGTTTGTCCAGTTGAATGTCCCCAATTTCAAATTATTTTTTCTTTACTTCTTCAAAATGAAAGAAAAGGGAAAAAATTGTTATTTAAAACTTGTGAAATTGTTAGGTTGGTGTACTCTACTGATACTCCACTTCTTGTAAATCATTATTATTGTTTTGGTGAATTACAGTTGCATAAAAATTATAATCTCACTCACATAGAAAGTAAAAGCATTTATTCTGAATGTTTCATATGAAATCAATCACATTAAAGGTCAGACAGTCATTAAATTGTTTTATTTCTATTTTCACAAGATCAAAGTTTCTTAATTGTAACGAGACTTTTCTTCTACAGTAATTAAAACAAATTTAAATCCATATGTCTGAAGTTATTAAACATTCTATGTCGTGATTTATCTTAAAGTCTGAAAATTATTATGAATTCAACAAATCACCTACAAACCATAAACATGGAAAGTTTCACTCTTTTTTTTAAAGAAACAAAGTAGGAAACAAGATTTATATTTCTACCAATTTTACTCATTTCTGTGAATCTGTCTTTTATGATAAAAAGTTACAATAATGACCATTTGTGATGACTTGTACTGCTGGCTCTTACTGGTCTGTTTACTGACAAGCTGTAGCACCTGAAGGCCAGCAACACTATTGAAAGTTCCAACATGTTTTCCTCCTGAAAGTATCACATCTTCGAACTTGACTAAACAAGGGCATAATTCTTGTATGCCTTAACTGATACTCCACTGTTGAATTGCTTGCTTGACAGTGTGGCTTGATAGCTGGAGACATTTGTTTTGTGAATTGTTCAGTTTCCCTCCATCAACCATTGAGTAAGGTTGTTTTTGTCTTTGTGTTGGGAATGTTTCTTGCGCTCTTGAGGCGTCTGACAGACTCACGAAGGTGTTTGGGCTGGATAGGCCCTGACTCTCCCCACTGTTTCATCACATCAAGAGCTGTTTAAAATGTTGAATTAAGCAAATTATGAAAAGAATTCATACTAATCTGTAATACATGTATCGACTATATAGAATACAAGTATATAAAGTCAAAAGAAACCATCACAGACTTTCTGATATAGAAAACAACAAATTTTTAGATTTCAACTAAATACTAGCAGGTCATCGTTTTCGAAAAAAAATACTCCAAAAATTTCTTTTTCAATTCAGAATATACAACCACTTTATATTGACATTATAGAATTATTAGATGAACCTGGTATAACCTGGAATTACTACTGGCAGCAACTTAGATTTCAGCCATTATTGGCAGATCCTAGGTTGTCTATGAGGATCTGTGAAGAATCAAGAACCACTCACCTTCCTCAACTACCTCCCCAACAAAAACCTTAGCAATGCCTGACATGGCGATCACAACATTCTGGGCTACCCCTGATCTTGTAATGGACTGCATCAGCTTAAATGTCAACAGAAAGAATAGTAAATATAGATTAAAGGTATACTAAAACTTATGCTTCACATATGGCAGACGTGTAAAACTATTAAGGTATATAAAACACAGGCATAACTTTCATTAAAAAAAAGTATCTAGACATCTAGATTATTATTACTTGAAGTTCTCTTTATACAAATTATGTTATCTTTGGAATATTCTAGTATGACCAGTGACCATTTCCTGTCAAAGATCTCTAAATTTAACTGATCACTGAAACTTAATCAGATTAACAATGGTGACATGTTTTTTTCTTTTCTTTCTATTTTTGCTGCAGTTTTTTAAGAAATTTTTAAGAAAGAGTCATTGCCATTGTTTTCAATATTTCGATCTTGTCCAGGAATCTTAAAATTTTGACAGATCTCACTCTGTAGCATCATCTAGTCATGCTTTCTTCGGTGGAATTTTTGCCATTTTAGCCCACAATCACTGAGAGGGTCTTACCATCTTCATACCTAAATATCTGTTGAATGGTGACTACATTTTTTACACAAACTAGTGAAAAATCATAACAATTAGGTTTCTAATGTTTTACGATTATCAAACATGAAATGGAATCATGTTCTCACCCTCTTTACAGCGGCCTTTGGAAAGGCGGCTCTCCTGTACATTTCATAGCGGTTAAGTTGTTCTTCTGTAAAGTTTGAAACCAATACTCTGAAATATTAAACAAATATGAAATAATGAATACATTTATGATAAAATCTTTCATTAAACAATGTAGTAAGTACTAGGAACTGTTATTTTTTGAAATCCTTTAACAAATTTTAATACAGTACTTATTTATCACAGCTATAGTAAGGAAATAATTATATAACCAAGCTATTGACATCATTTTTCCATATTCTGGAAATTAGATATAAACAATTAGATATTAGGAAATAAATTAGAAAATTTTAATAACATATGAATCCCCCATTTCCACAAATTTCTTGTGTGAAATACTTAATGTCTGGTTCAAATAGAATTTCATCAAAAATTTCTACAAAATATTGACATGTTTTGTTTTATGCTGATGTTCCCAAATTTTACATTTTTTAAACTTTATTTACCTTATTCATTGATGAATTTTCAGAAGTTATCAAACGTGACCCTTGACCTATTAACTTAACCAATGACCATCTTAATATGGTAAGGTGTAGAACACAATATCATTATATTGGGCAAAACAGCAACCAAATCTGTTGAGTGTTTCTCAAGATATGACATTGATTCAGAATGCAACAGATGGACATGGGGTAAAGTAACACTATGTGCCGCCCCATTCCCGACAAAGCTAGCAGCTATTGAAATGTATCAAGTTTTTGAGTGTTACATTTATTGTAAAAACAGATGCAAGTTGTTTCGTATCAAACCATTTCAAGAATCCTGAAGACATTTTGAAATAGAACTTTTGGGACTTGTGCTGGATGTTTCTAATCACTTTACCAAGTGTCTTAACTCAGGGAGGCATGATGATATGTCAACACATACTTTGAAGTAAACATATCAACAATGCATGTTTTGACTTATATAATCAATGGTACATTAATCATTGCCATTTGCTATCCCTTGCGTTTGTACTGAATGTATTCAAATGAATTAATATCATGATTAACTAACTGCATTTTCAATCTTTCTTCTTCCTGTTTTTCTTTTTTGTGTCGATAGACTCTCATTTCTTCTTCTGTTGGTTCATATTTTCGTTTTCTGTCAGGAGATTCACTGGCAGCTTTACTTGAACCACTTGTTTTTCTCTCCCTTTGACTGCCACTGGAGGTTGATGGGCCAGGTATGCTATGAGATGACAAGGATTTTTCAGGGCTAGTGTCACTCTCCGATTCCGAATGCCCTGACTGTTCGTTTATGTGATCACTTCCCCCCTTGTCACTAGCAGGAGATTTGGATGTGTCTTTCAGAGGTGATATACTTTCATCAAAACTCGCAGGCTTCTCTGGAGTGTCGGCACTCATCCTTTCTCTAATTTCTTTCCCGGAAGTACCAGCTGTGATACTCAGTGTAAATAAAGTGCTTGACAGCGTACGAAGATTGACCCGTGTAGAACCAAAACGTTTAAGAGAGGTAGAAAAATTCTGTTTTTCACAGGTGATTATAGATGAAAACGGAAATATTTCATTCTAATTAGGCGATAATTGATATTTAGCTTGTTTAATAAAACTTTAAAACGGTTTCATAGTTGTTAACATAAAAATTTAATGCAAACACTGTGATGACAGCTCCGTTTCCAAAATATTGCAAAATAATCAAGGAAAATCGCGTATGAATTTCAATCCTCAGACATAAACAAAAGTTTTTAATTCATTAGAAATAACCTTGATTTGTTTTTTTACTAACATGTATGAATTCAAAGTTAAAAATTGAAACAAAATATATGAAATGTGATAATTCATCAGAGAAGCAGTAAAAAATATAAGAACTATTTTATGAGCAGATATGCCGATGGCGGAGGAGCACATTTCCGCCTCGTAAGTTCACGGTCACCTAAATCTCGACTGAGCAAGGAAAGAACCCGTGAACGTAAAAAACAGTTTGGATGTAGTAACAACTCAACCGCTGCAATTTGGAGACTCAAGAATAAACTCCTTAAGGCCAGGGTAAGATTTAAATAGCAAATCGAATGATAGTCGGAGGTGTATTTACATTTGTTTCTGCTTTGTTGTGACAATATAAGTAGGCCTTCAACTCGTGTATTCGATGACCTCAATCGTCGAGCTCAAAAGATGTTGAATTTGTTAAAAATCTATTGCGATCAATTACATTATGGCGTATTTTGGTGAAATTAGGACCTCTGTATTAAACCCGCCATTTCGATTTTTGAATCTGGTCATGACAGTTATCAGTAAATGACAGATTCAAAGAATTCGGAGTTGGTTAATTTCGGGTAGCTCACTCATTGGAAAATACCCTACAGTACTCGAGTAAGACGTTGCTTTCACGAATCCGTTGTATACAGTTTCCTTTATCAATTTAACTTCAGGTGAAGGTGTTGGAATAATCAATTTCTGATATTGGCGTTATGGATTAGAACATTTCACGGATGGTTTAATTTATATTGTTTAATGTGTCAAACATGTATCCAACTAACTTCACAATTACACATACACATTTTCAGTACCCTAAAGGAGTAAGTGTATGAAGCTGTTAACAAACCACAAAATTTTGTCATCCTTAATAGTACTGACCACAAAGTTGTGATTGTGATAAATAATTGGAGAACATTTACATTTTTTGTACTTTCCCAGTTCTACACACTGACACGCATCAAAATGAGGGTTCCTGTGTATTGTAATACTGTGTTCCACTTTTCCCATTATGTGTAATGATTAAATTATAAAGAAGTTTGTAGGAGAAAATATGAAGGTTGTTGGTTTGTATTATAGAATTAGTAAACTTCAGATTTCAGTTGTTTCGTTTGCAAACATTAAAGGTTAAATTCACTATTTCTTATGAATTTAGATATGGTTTTGATCCAGTGATATCATTCTGATGTTCTATGCATCTAGTGTTGCAAATTCAACTTAGCTTTAGCAGATCAGCCCCCACTTGTATAAAACATCGCAACCTGAGATTTCCTCAAGTCGAGATTTTCCTCAGCTGATATCTCCTCAAAAACAGCTTGTATAAAATTTTCTCAAGGAACAGGAGGAAGGCATCGGCTAGGATGTCCTGAAATTCCTTGAGGAAATTTCATACAAGATATTTTCAAGGAGATATTAGCTGAGGAAAATCTCGACTTGAGGAAATCTCAAGTTGAGATGTTTTATACAAGTGGGGACAGGTCCTAAACTTTAAGCAGTTTTTATTTCTGCTTTGAATAAAATTTAGGTCTGAGAATCAAACATCAAACAAGTGTTGCCAATTGGGAAAATTCCCCCTGGTCAACCTGTTTCAAACTAGCCGGAATAAAACAGCTTGTTTGACCTGTCAGGTTTTTTAATAACCCATGTTTTTTTTCCCTTTAGAGGACTTTCTTTTGATCACTTCAATAGTCAAGAGCTTTTCAAAGGCACTCGGACATTAGTAGTCTATATCAACTAGACTTTTCTTTTCTGTATGTAGATAAGTAGAGATCAAACGTTTAGTTTGGTAAGACAAGGATATCATACATAGTCCAACAAGTGGGACACAACTTTTCTTGTATAAAAGATGATTAGTTTTCAGTTATTTATCTGATTCAGTTGTTAGTTGAAGATATGGACATGTCCAGACGTAAGTCATTCCTTCTTAAGCAATGAATAAGCACATTAGGAAGTAAGATATGCTAATGTCATCTAGAAACGTTTTTGGGAATTCATGTGGCTTAAATGAAGAGATTTGCCTATGGAAGTACTTGGATATACCAAATATGTGTCAGCATGTAGTTTATAAAACAGATGTGAATATTTCTTCATAGTAATACATCAGCCCAATATAATATAAAAAATCATCATTATATTGGGACAATTTACAATGTGTTTTGATTGTCTTCCAAAAGAAATATTGACCATATTTTTTTTACAGATATTAAGAGCATTTTGAAATTAAGGGCAAAAGAGATGAAAAGTGGCAGAGGAAAGTTATCTTACATGTAGTGAACAGTGTCCTAGGTTTTATTTTTGTGTGTGTAGTTGACTGTTATGATAACAGAGTTATATTTGTAATAGAAATTTATGAAGGGAGATTGGATCAAGGCAATGACAAAATTTCTATTAGTACTTCCTGGTATAATGACCCATCAGATCTACAATGTAACTGGCCAAAACTGCCAGAGGCATATCAAAGTTGAGAAGAATAAAAGTATACTGATAGATTAATTGTTTGTGTACGTACATCTTTTGTGCTCCATATTTGAATAAAAAAAATGCCTGGGAAATGATGTGAAAAAGGTTGTTGTTAAACAACATGACCCTCGTTTCACTTTCACCCTTGTTTTAGGTGGTCACAACTAGATATTTCACTTTGAAAATCCAGCTATACTAATCAAATGTCATTGCCAACAATGAATGGAAAATGAAAAAAGTTTTTGTAGAAGACTTCCTCTAGAGAAGTGCTTGCTTAAGACTTTGATGAGGTGATTTTAAGATTTAATAGATACCTCTTGTGACTGGGATCAATGAAAATGTCTGAAGCCTGGTGTTTAGGCCAGATAAAACTTTTAACTTTTAATAAGTTAAAACATTGGTTCTCACACTTTCCTTTATCATATTAGGTAGTCGACTAAACCTAGCCACAAGCTAAAACTGAACATAATAGAAGATAGAAATATCAGATAGCATGCATGAGCTTCTATACAAACAGGTGACATATCAGATTTTCGTATGATATACTGATGGTTACTTTTTCCAGACTACACCTGTATCAGTATTGCCATATCATCAGGTTCAATACTATAGGATGTAATCATCATCCATTGTTTGTAAAATGAATGCTTGTGTAATGTTCAGTATCTTATACACCTAAATAAATGCCTGCCATCAAGCTGGAGTTAAAGTATAACCGACCCTATACTTTGTTACATTATTCAGTGCTATGGTTTACTGTTTTTCCCTAGGCTTTACAAGTACACGTCTGTCTACTGATCTGGAAACAAAGATATTGGCTTGACAGTTGACACAAACCGGGTAATGCTCAACATAAAGTCATTGCTCTCTCCCTTTGTTTTGAGATCTGTAATAAGTTTCTAAAAATACTCTGTCTTTGCTTCATTTAACATGATCACAGAATGTAATAGAGATTAACCCACTGTCCTAACGTATACTTATATTAGTCATACAGGTTTTTGTTACTAGGTCGAGACAGTACATTAACTGGCTTTGTATGTATGTAGTAATACATATGCACACATGTAGAACTCAAGGGCCAAATGCATGGCCTTGGATCCCTGTATTGTCTTTCCTATTTCCCAACTTTACCTTCAGGACTCGCAGCTTAAGTTAGTTGTCCTACTTGATATTTGGCTATTTCAAGAGTCAATAAAACTTTCCTTGAATTTTGAAAGGCTAAAGTACTTCAGTTGAATTATGTCAAGTGCTGATAAAAGTTCATCCAGTGTTTCATTCTATGGATGTTTTTTCTCTAGAAACAGCATTTCTAGGTTGTTAAGGATAGCAGTAGTCTTTTGTCTTAGTGGCTGACCTTTGTACAGAGTATAGTGTGACTACCTAAAAAACTTGACAGTTTTGACAAAGGTAGACATACAAATTATTTTGGTCTTTAAGTATCCTGAGGCTAACTATATAGTGCTGTGTAGATGTTCTGTACTAGTCTTAGCTACTTTGTTTATAAATGAAGAAATGTTTCAACTAATTTTTTGCCTGAATACATGTCATCCAAGTGCTTTAAGTTGGTAGAAATCATATTATTTTTGAAAACATTTTGTCATTTTAGGACTTAACCAACAGAAGGTATTGAAACTGCATTCATGATAACACAGTTTGCAGGTACACTTTTGACCATACTTGAAAGATGATCTTACTAAATTTGGTTTGCTACTCTTAGTGATCATCAGCTTGATCTTACCATGGTAAAAACAGTTCCTATCCCAGATCTGAGGAATAAAAAGGAAATAGAAGCAATAACATGTAACCAGACTATATGTATATGTCACTGTCCAATCATGTAGGTTTTCCCAGGGCAGCTTGGTTTTCTCTCACAATCGTAGTGATTAAATCTAGCTGACATAATTAGATTAAAATTTTACCGGTAAGTAGTCTATCTTGATTACGATTTAATTGCACCTTCTGACTGTATATAATTTTCATCATGTGACCATAGTCATCTTGCTCTATTTTGTAACATAGATATATTGATAAATTTGATTTACTAGCAATACCTAAATCATATCACCCCAGATATAAATGGTGATAATATGACCACAGTTGAAACTAGATTATGACCCATTCAGAATTTTTGTATTTCATTAAACATAATCATAGGTATTCAGAGTCCTTACCCTATTCAGCATTATCAAGAAATTACATGAATCACAATTTTGTAAAGTCCATAGACCTGGATGATATTCCATTTATTTTGTTGGTATTACTACAATAGAGACAATAATAACATGGTTTTCATTAGTGTCTTAGTGACACATACACCGCCTGTTTAATCTTCCTGAGGCACTTTTAATTAAACTGGATCACATAGTGGCAAATAATTATGTTTTATGTGATACCTGTTTATTGTACTTTAACAGTAAACATCTTTGATGATAACGTCAATTGAGGTCTTTGTCCTCAATTCAGGTGTTATTATCAAATGTCAGTAACTTTAATCTGCTGCAGTTTTTTTTACTGGAAAAGAAGATTTTGATAAAGCTGTCAAAATGTTTACGGTTTTCTGCTAAATTTTTCCACATCCTAATGCAAGTTAAGCATGTGTATAGAACTTGAAGCACCTGTTAAGCAAGTGTTATGTATAAGATCTCATTGAAAGTTGACCAAACTTTATTCAAGTGTCCCACGGCTGATTTATTGTCACATGTAGTAATAAAACTAAATGTCACATTTATCTTCCTTAAATATTGGGAGATAAAAGTGTGTTATATACCTATATATTTACCAGTGTGGTACAGGCAGGAACTGTACCGTTTCATTACCGGTAATGTTCTGTATAT